TTCTGCAGAAAAACTAGTTATTCAAATTATTCAATTTTAAAATACTCTACACACTTAAAGACACACAACCAAGTTCCAGAACTTACGTTAAATTAAATTTAAAATTAAATTGCCATGTTGAAGTTCCTGGAGGGTATTCACCTTGCTCATTCATGAATGTCAACCCTAACTGGATTATTTTAAGTAAATCTACATTACAGCGGAGTAGCTGATATTGATAGTCCGCATTGCTTCTGAATTCTCCAATAGGTCGTGCAACTACACCAGGGAATTCTGTATCCTGAAAAGCATAAATGTGAAAGACAAAATGGAAAGTATTAGAAGAGCAATACAACTCACCACTTTTTATAGCTAGATGCTTTAAATGTTCTGTATACTTTTCTTGATATAAAAGACTAAACATGGAACTGAATTACTGTCTTGCAGTTAACTCAGGCATTATGGGTAAACCCATGAGCTATCCAAAGAAGCCTATTTATTAATCTAATTATTCAATATTAGTTTATTTTATTAACATACCAAATAGAGCTAGGAACTGTATATACAATATATGTCCATGTTCCTATGCAGAACTAATTTTTATTAATTACTTTCATTTTTTTCCAATGAAATCAGTAATGGGAGAAAGTTTGTTCTAGTGGTTAAGACATCCAGCTAGAAAGTGGGAGACTGTGAATTCTAGTCTACCACCTTAGCTGGGTGACTTGGGTCAGTCACTCACTTTCAGCCCAACTCACCTCACAAGGTTGTTGTTGTGGGGAAATAAGGAGGAAGGTGTGTTGGATATATTCACAGCCTTGAGTTCTTTGTAAAAATAATAAAGGGAGGATATACTGTATATAAATAAATAAAATGGAAATCTTTTGTTATTTTTGAAGAAATGCATTATTTCCTTTACGTTTTTCTTTTACAAATCATTTACACTGCCTCTGTAACCAAGGAAGAATACAGATAATCCCAATATCTTACCATGGCAACATAGTTAAACTTCCGTATAACCTGACGAATTTTCTTCATCTCTTCATCCAGGTTACAAGCCCACACTTCACAGATTCTTTGGCTGTGATCTACTGTGGCTGCTGGCATAATTAGGAGGTTTCAGATACCAGGCATCAAAAAGGTACACTTGATGAAAAGTTGATTTCATAAAACAAGTTTAAATTTTATACCTAAAACAGCAAGACCAGAAATGAATAATTTTAATGAATTTATAAACATAAACAAAATTATCAAAAAGTACATGACCACTCAGCACACTATAGCACAACCAGCACAGGTGATGAAAAGGATAACACTGCAACACCTCAAAAACATCTTAAAAACAATTCCATAATTTCACAACACATTGGCCGATTTAACCATAGTTTGAGTATTTAGACCAAGCTAAATTCCAAAACACTAGACAATTCCTAAATTCAGACAAATCAACCAACAGGCGCAAAAAGATAAGCAATATTTACATACCATTCAAAAGACACAATAAAAAAGCTAAAGAGCAAACAAATAACAAAAATACTCCAACCTCCCCAACAGCACACCAAAGCAAGATGTAAACAATATCCTATTCAAGAAACTACCATCTCAGATAAACAATCAAGCTGTGAACAAAAGCCTAATCAAGGAACTACTAAGAAGAAAAAACATCTCTACCAACACATACAGTAGCTACTGCATATAAACTAAGAGCAAACCAAAATCCATTCTAAACACTTAAGATATTATTTACTCTAGTAAAAAAACAACCACAAGCAAACAACTAATCTCAAACAGCAGCAAAGACTCCACAAAATTCAACTACAGTATATATACAAGAAATATATAGAGAGAGGGAGTGGAATATATAAAGGCAGAGAAAAAAATATACATAAACCAGCTTATACAATTCCGTTAACTAAGACTATCTCATTTGCAATCTTCAGAAGTTAAAAAAAAAAAACTTAAGACGAACTATTTGTTAGATGAATATCCAGCTTGCAAATCTGTACAGTAGAAACTTCTTCAATAAATAACTTCCAGAGCTTAATAAAACCTAATAGGATATATAGAACAATATTATGATTCTTCACAGACTCCATAATGAAATAACAGTACTTTAGTATATTATACACACCATTTATTCATATTAATTTTGAAGTAAATCATTTTATTTCAATTAATAGTCATGCTAATATGCAGATATCAATTTACTTTCAACTGTTATTTCTGTGGGATTTGTTTAGCATATTTTGGATGGCAACTTTGAATAACTTCAATTAAATTCAATAAAACAATCATTATTTGCAGTCTTAAGACATTTTAGTTTAGCTACATTTTTGTAATCAGCAGTAATAAAGTTTAGTATTTATATTGACTACTAATGTAAAACAAAAGATGTCAATTGATCAAGAACAAATAAGCAATTAATGTAAAAATAAGAGCTCTATATCCTGCTGCCAAAAAATATGCTTATTTCTTGGGTATGCCTGAAGAAAATTATAAATAATTATAAATTATAAGTATTGTTCCACACTTACTTCTCCTGCAATCTAGGAATGTTTTTTATTGCTAAAGACTAAGAATTTAAACATTGTTCTTTATATATTTAAACAGTGTCCTCCATTTGAAGCAGAAAGCAATCTGACATGAAACACTTACATTTCTAGACTGTAATACCCCCTAAATGTTTACAGCACTTAGTAATTCACCAATTGATTTGGACCTTAAAATTCTTGTCCTCTGACACAGCTTGCTAGGAAATGGAAGCTCTAATTCAGATCATTTGGAGAATGCCCGACTGCTATGCCCTGTTTTAAGGCATAGAACATCATCATCATCATCAAGGCAATGAACAAATATATAGAGCTAACCATTCCTAGGCAAGCTAAATTTTCTTGGTCTGGTTTAGAGTGTAGCCACAGAAAATGTTAAGAAAATTAGAGAAATATCTATCATGTTACTTATGCAAACCTAGATAGCCCTTGACCAACAACCACAATGGAGCCTGCCCATTATGGTAAAACATCATGATTGACGAGAAGTGCCCACATGATCACCTCACTTAAGATGACCCATTCCTGGTCTTCCTGATACAGTTAAGTGGAGCACGGGTTGTCTCGGAGACCATCGGGAAGGCCCTGGGATGCCTAGCACAGGTTCCTGCACCAGGAGTCCCTCACACTTTTCTTCAGGCCTGCAGGGACAAGGCAGTGGGGACAACTCCCTATGGTCAGTCATAAGAGCAAGCAACTGTGGAAGTGCTGCAATGGCTATAACTTTGGAACTGGATTGTAAGTAGTTTATGGAGGGGAGGTTGCCGTAAGTCGAGGACTACCTGTATAACAATCTGATCAGATACAACTGTAACACTGTTGATATGTCACCAATGCCCAGATGTCACTAAAGTAACCTAGATTATCCATTGTCATTATAAAGAGTTTTTAAGTTTAATTATCTGTATCAAATTAATCATCCATTCCTAACCTTATACCCTGCAGATTAGGCTATTTCACAACTAATGGTTGCAGATAACAAGAAATCATCTTAAAGACATCAATAAGCATAAAACATAAAATGACTTGTTGCACAATCAGCGAGATGTTCAGACTGGATTTGGCATTTTTGTCTACCTATCAAGTCCTTTCTAAGGACCTTGAATGCTTGATGTTACAGGTATTGTCGCAGGATGTAAGCTGTTATTAGAGTAGAATAAATCATCTGGAAGACTTATGGTTGGAAAAAGCTTGATACAACATTTCTTGCCCAAATCCAACAGTGAATAATAGTTTTAGCTGTTCTTTTCAATACCTTCCTTTCTATTCTCATCCTTTCACTGAAAAGGTAAAAATCCAGCAGCCTCACTTTGCTCTTCATGCTTCTGCCCCAAGGGGTCAGGGGTCTCCAAGACACATTGACCCTTGCATGTTTCAAATAGCCATTGCTTCCTATAATAGTAATAGAACAAGCGATAATAACCTGAACCTTTGATAGTCCCATATAGTCCATCCACTTGGGGAATCCCGACTTAAGAACGAACTCCCTGTCAGCACTGATGATGTTACCTAGTTTGGGTAATGAAAGTTCTGTTAAGAAAACAATCAAGCTCAGAGAGCACCGAGGACCCCTCAATCGTGTCTTGGACAGAAGCATGTATTCAGCTCTGTATACCAGAACGCACACCTTGGCTATTGCTGAAAGATAATAAAGACAGGTCTTTGCAATGACCAGAAACAAAAGACAAGTCAACGGCATCTAACTGTTATATTTTCCCGCGCCCCCTTTTTTTAAAAAAAAAAAAATTGGGGGGGGGGGGGGGGGAAGGAGGGAACTTCGGAAAAGGGAGCGGCAGACGTTGCCCTAGGCAGATCTGTTCAAGGTGAGGCAAGAGACACCTCTAGCTTTACTGTCTCGAAAAGGAAGGAAGGCAGGCTTGGATCGCACAGGATGAAGGTAAAGCAAAGGTGAGAAAGGAGACTTCCCAGAGCCAGCCGCGGTTCGTTCTCTTCTGACTCCTCCTCTCCCCCCCCCCCACATATTACGGAAAGAAAAGTTCGCCCGTCGGATCGCGCGCGCTTCCACTTTACTGTCCCGACCGCCTGCGTCTCCACACCCCATACACGCCCACCCACCCACCCACCCACAGGAGAAGCGCTGTCGCCGCTGCTCCTCACGAGCTTTCCTAATGAAAGAAGAAGCGGTTACTCACGCGAGGGGTGGAGAAAGAGTCGAGCGGGGACCTGGCGGCGGAGGCAGCCCCGACGCGGCGAGGGAGAGCCAGAAAGCGCGGAAAACCACTCGCGCGGCTTCCCCACAACCTCCCAGCGCACAAAGCCATTACATCATCAGCGCGCGCCGCGCTCTTGACCTTTCAACCCTCGATTCTCTCGCTCCGCTTCCCCCTTCACGCTCCTTTCCCGGCCGCGGAGACCCGGCAGAGCCTGACCAATCGGGCTCTCGAGCTGGCCCCCTCCCAGCCCTTTCCAACCAATGGAAGGCAACGGCCGGTGATGACGCGCCCAGCGGATCGAGCGCAGGCGTATTTTGTCGCCCGGGTCCGGAACGGCGGTGTCTCTTGTGTTCGTTGTCTCGGTGCTTCACGTTCTGCTGGGGTAGGAGGAGAGACCCGCGGAGGGAGGCGAGGTGGCGGCGGCGGCGGCGCGGACGGGAGAAGCCAAGGGAAGGCCGCGCATTGTCTGTTTTTTTTTCTGGGTTGGGAAGGGTGGGGGGCTAGAAGAGGATGAGCTGGCTCTTCCACTACTCCAAAGCGGGTAGCGGTGGCGGGGCCGCCGCCTCCGCCACCACCTCTTCCTCCTCTTCCGCCGGCGGAGTAGCGTTGCCTTCGACTCTCACCAGCCTCCAGCAACAGCGGCAGCGGCAGATCGAGTCCCTGCGCAGCGCCCATGCAGCGTGAGTGACACCCCCTTAGGGAGCGAGGAAATCGCCGGCCAGCTCTTTTTCATAAAACGGGTGGAAGTCAGTCCAGAGGAGGGCGAGAATATGAGGATCTCCCTGGGTGATCGCTCCATTGCTGTCGGCAAACATGGCTTTTTTTCTTCAGTAGAGCGGCATGACTCGCTCCTCAGCTAAAAACTCAAGTCATCAAACCAGAGCAAATGAGGGGCCATTTAATTTCTTTAAAGGCATGCCTAATGTACGGACCTGGGCCGCCAATAATTTTTAAATAAACAATAGCAGTAGCCGTAGTCTATTTAAGGTGTGCCTTGATATTGCAACTTCAAAGGGTTGGTAGGCAAAAGTAGACGCCAGGGGAGGCAAAAAGTGCAAGAAAAAAAATCCTTACAAAAGTCACAAGATCCTAGTTGAAAAGAGCAGCTGATGTTCAGAGGTCAATGCCTACCACTCTTTCAAAGCGAAAATAGTTTGAGTGCAATGCAAAAACTACTACCATGTACAGTTAAGGGGATTTGGCCTTCCCTGTATTAAGAAACAGGAAGTGAAAATGCTGGTTCACTAATAGCCTCAGCTTCCTTCAGCAAAACAAGTTGCTGCCCACACATGTTCCTGTCAACATGTTCTTGTAAACAGGTTACTGTTTTCATCTACAAAGACCAATCTGCCTTCAAAGGCCAGTTCTTATATTTCTGGGGTCCTCAGAACTTTTATTCAAAATTAAGCTGATTAAAATAGGAAGGAGGGAATCAAGCTTTTAACGGAATCTGTTCTAGTTTGGTAATAATTTAGAGTTTCTAAGAGAAGAACTTATACTTTCATTTGACCTTTGAAATTAGGGCTTTTTAAGATGCTTAATTGGGTCATTTGTGTTTGATTTGACTATTTCATTAATAAATGTTTCTCTTTTTAGTATAGCTGAAATACAAAAAGATGTGGAATATCGGTTGCCCTTCACTGTAAATAACCTGACAATTAATATAAATATGTGAGTATCTTTTGATTTGACTGTATGTCAGTCAGTGTGGACTGTTAATTTTCTGTCACACCACATTAGGACTAGAGTGAGTTTTCTCTTGTTTTCTTCTGTTTCAGTCTGGATAAATTTTAAGGAGAGAATGTTTTTTGTGTGTGTGTGACTTTCAAGGAGCACATTGCCTACATCAGGGGTGTCCTACTCAAGGCCTGTGGGCCAGATCCAGCTTGCGGGGTGCTTAAATCTGGCCCATGGGACCAGCCTGGAAATATCAGAGGACCAGCCTGTAGCCCATTTTTGGCCTCCCCGGCTTCCAGCAGCACTCTGCCAGCCAAAAACAGGCTGCAGGGCCTCATTGGAGAAACTGATTTATGATGCACTTGGGGTGGGCGGGGGGCACAGCTTGTTTTCATCCAGCAGAGTGCTGCAGGAGAACTGGATTACAATTATGCGGCCTCAAGTAAGTGTCCTGATCTGGATAGAAAATAAAGAACATCCTATGTTAATACTACAGTTTAATGCCAGATTTTACATACTGTAGGTCCATTTAAGCTACAGTCAACAATTTATAATTTCTATTTACTATCCTGGAAATCTACCTCTGCTGTTAGATCTTGTATTATCATATTATTTATGCTATTGTATTTTTATTATTATTTTTTAATAAATTTTTATTATTTTTTTAACATAAAAAACACAACAACAAAACATAAAAGTATCAGCTCCCCCATATTTTTGTACACACAGTAAGTCGGTTGGTCCATCGGTTTTGTGCATTCACCTCATAGTCACAATTACAATTACTTTATATAATACTCTTATCAATACAAATTTATAAATCCTAGTATCGCTATTAAAGAAAAAAAAAATTTAACTAAACTTTTATTCGGTCATGCCTTTATGAGATAACTATATTTTAAATATTTTATTCTAAAACAAATCTTATAATCATACCAATTCTATCCCAAATATGAAAAAGAAAAAAAACAAAGAAAACTATTATATAAATATAGTATCAAAAACCAATAAAAGGAAAGGGAAAATAAAGTCATTATTATTCCTTATTATCTAACTTTTATATTTTAATATTTCATCATTCAACCATTGATAGAAAAGATCCCAAACTAAATAAAATTGTTTATCTTCTTGCTCTCTAATTTCAAAAGTCAATCTACTCATCTCAGCACATTCCAAAATTTTCTTTACAACTTCTTCTTGCAATGGAATTTTCTCATTTTTCCAATTTTTTGCAAATACAATCCTAGCAGCAGTCAATACATTTACAATCAAATATTTCAACTCTTTACTATAAGTATCTGGTAGTATTCCCAATAGAAAAAACTCCAGTTTCAAGTCTATATGCTTCTTTGTCATTTTTTCCAGCCACATGTGGATTTTAGTCCAATATTTTCTAGCATCCTCACAAGTCCACCACATGTGATAGTATGAACCAGGTTTCTGATGACATTTCCAGCATTTTTCGGATTTGTTCTTGAACATTCTTGCTATCCTTGTCGGGGGAAAATGCCACCTGTAAAACATCTTATACAAGTTTTCTTTATAGGCTGTAGACATTGTCATTTTATAATTTTGCGACCATAATTTCTGCCATTTCTCTAAATCAATCCCATATCCAAAATTCCTCCCCCACGCAATCATAGTTTCTTTAACTTGTTCTTCCTCAAGCTTAATTTGCAATAAATAACCATACAATTTTTTAATCACCTTTTCATCAGTACCCATCAAAATCTTATCCAAGTCAGTTTGCTTATCATAAAATCCCTCTGCTTTGGAATCCTCATAGTACTTTGAATGTATTTGCAAATATGAAAACCAATTCATCTGTATACCTTGTTGTTCCAATTTTTGCATCGATTTAAGTTCACCCTTTTCATCTAATAATTCCCCATAGTTAACTGTTTGTTCCTTTTTATAAATTATAGGATAAGAGAACGCTTCTATCGTCGATAACCAAACTGGAATTTTCAAATAACACTGTTTTTTTATCTTCTCCCAATTCAACCACAGAGACTCCCGTATATAATGTCTTCTAAAATACCCCTGTGTTTTAGTTCCCTTGTACCATAAAAAAGCATGCCAGCCCAACAACAAATCATGACCTTCTAATGTCAACAATCTGGTTTTCCTTAATGTTATCCATTCTTTAACCCACGTCAAGTTTGCAGCTTGGTAGTACAACTCCCAATTAGGCAGACCAAACCCTCCTCTAAATCTAGCATCCTGTAAAAGCTTTAACTTTATTCTTGCTTTCTTGCCTTGCCATATATACTTCAAAACAATTTTATTTAAATCCTCAAAATATTCTTTTCCAAGCCTAATTGGTATTGTTTGAAACAAAAATAAGACTCTGGGTAAAATGTTCATCTTGATTGTTGAAATCCTTCCTATTAATGACAATTGTAAGTTCTCCCATTTTTTCAAATCTTGAGCTATCTGTTGTTTTAAGTTTAATATAATTATTCTCCTTCAATGTACTACATCTTGATGTCAAATATATCCCCAGATACTTAACCTTGTTTGTAACTTGAATTTTTAACAGTTCTGCCAACTCTTCCCTTTGTTTCAGCAACATATTCTTTGACAAAATCTTTGTTTTATCTCTATTTATTTTCAAACCAGCCACCTCCCCATAGACCTCTATCTTTTCCAACAGTTTCGAGGCTGTTTCTATAGGGTCTTCCAAGATAAAGACTAGGTCATCTGCAAAGGCTTGTAGTTTAAATTCTTCCTTTTTAATTTTCATTCCTTTTATAGTTTTATCTTCTCTGATATTTCTATTCAACACTTCCAAAGTCAATACAAATATCAAGGGAGAAAGAGGACAACCTTGTCTTGTGCCTTTTCTTATATTAATAGGATCTGTAAATTCTCCCTCCATCATTACCTTAGCTGTTTGTTCATTATAAATTGCTTCTATTGCCTGAATAAATCTTCTAGCAAAGCCCATCTGTTCCATTAAAAGTAACATAAATCTCCAATTCACGTTATCAAATGCCTTTTGAGCATCTAAAAATATCAAAGCCATTTGCTTTTCAGGATGCGCCTCATAGTATTCCAGGGTGTCCAGAATTACTCTCATATTGTCTCTGATTTGTCGCTTTGGCAAAAACCCATTTTGGTCTGGGTGGATAAAGTTATTCAAGTACTTTTTAAGTCTTTCTGCTAATATTGAAGCAAAAATTTTATAATCTGCATTTAGTAAAGAAATCGGTCTATAATTCTTGATTTGCAGTAGGTCCGCCTCCTCTTTTGGAATAAGTGAAATGTAAGCCTCTGACCATGTTTTAGGTATCATCTTTTTTAACATAACTTCATTCATAACTTCTAACAGTGGAATACACAGTGATTCTTGAAAGATTTTATAAAATTCTACAGGAAACCCGTCTGGACCTGGTGCCTTTCCATTATTTTGTTTCTTAAGTGCTTGACTTAACTCCATCATTGAGGTCAAACATATCCCTGATGCGGCCCTCAGTGAAATTGAGTTTGACACCCCTGGCCTACATCTATGTGGCAAAATTGTCAACAGTTGTATTTATCAGCATTTTTTCTTAAACAACTAAATGATAATCATTCAGTTTTATGAAGAAGTTTTGCTTCATCAAACTAAGTTGACTTATTTTTATTTTAACTTATTTTCTTGGAGTGCACCTAAAATTACTTCGATATAAAAAATTCACGTTTCTTCTTATTTCACTTGTTATCTGACAGTGAGAGTACATCAGCTGTTTGTTGTTTGTGTTGTAAATGCTAGAATTCAAAATGATGAACTATATTTTTAGCTAGATTATGATTGTACAGAAATTGTTAGGAAGAACTGTACTTTCACTCCCAGTTGTTCACATTCTCCAGAAAGATGAATCTTATATTTTGAAAGATGATGTAGTAGAGAGCTAAATCATACATGGAAGTTATAATAATAATCAAATATTTTGGTGTTTGCAGCTTGCTTCCTCCTCAGTTTCCTCAGGACAAGCCAGTCATCAGTGTTTTCCCTCCAATACGGCATCATATAATTGACAAGCAAGGAGCCTATGTGACTTCTCCATTAATTAATAGTGTAGGTATAAATGAATCATTTTCTAGAATAATCAATGGTAAAAATGCATGTCTCTTTCAAAATGTGCAACTGGCAACAGTTACAGTATATTTTATTGTAGAATTGTTAACGTTTACACCTACTAACTTCTTGGTGCCTGTAGATAGTTTTCCCATGAACTTTCTTGAACAAAACCCCACATTTTTAGAGTGGTTTTTCTAAACTAATTGTAAAAAAAATTAAAGTATTTTTTATAGAGTTCCAGATGTTTTTTTAAGTTCCAGGTTATTTGTCAGCTCTGTTTCTGCACACAGAGAACAAAAATGGGCCTCACTGACACTTGCATCCATCATCTAAGAGAGGCCACATGATTGTTATTAGATTTATATTCTTTCTTTTCATCTGTGTATCTAATCTATCTCAAGGCAGTAAACATAAGTAATACTCCTGTCTCTCCACAACGATCCTGTGAGAAGGGGTGGGCTGAGAGAGAATAACTGATTCAAAGTCAACCAACTGGTTTTCATGTCTAAGAGAGCATAGAAATCACAGTCTAGCCCGGTACCTTACCCACTACACCAAGCTGACTTTTTTCATTTAAATCAATGATAAATTGACTTTGTTGTATGGCACATCATTTTTAACCATGCTAATTTTTTAAATAATTTAACAGTTTACAATGCACTCTGACCTTGGCAAAATTGTTCAAAGTATACTTGATGAATTTTGGAAAAATCCTCCGGTCTTGGCTCCCAGCACAACAACATTCCCATAGTAAGTAAGCACATTAAAATATGGGTAATAATTTCAAGCATCACTATATGTAAACTCATGGAGCAAACTCAGATCAAACATAATTAATCAGGATATGGCTGCCAACCTTATATTGCAATTTGGTTTCCTTCATCTTATGCATTCAGTTATTGCATTAAAAAGTTAGATTTGAATAAAATCTTAAACTATGTTTTATTTTGGGTTGAGTTGCTCTGTTGGGCCTAAGGCTAATACAGGTAGATAAAAATTGAGTATTTATCTTACAGTATTGCAGACTTAGTTCTAAACAGCTTTCTTTCCCTGATCTATCTCAACTTATGAATATAAATGCTTATTTATAATTGATCAATTATATGTGACACAAAAAGAGAGTTTATACCAAGTATCAGTAAAATATAAAGATCCATTGGCCTATGTATAGTAACATCAGATGCATCATTCCATCACTTACAGGTTTGTTTTCACTAAAAACCAAAGATTTTCTAAATTTCAGCATTTAGTTCTTAAGTGCATGCCTTATCCTTTGGATTATACTAGGACTGAAAAGACTCATTAGTTCTAACATAACTGACTCATAATAAAACATTGCTGAAGTTAGCCCCTCAATTTTAATTACTTGGATTAAAAGAACTGTCATGTCTAAATTCCTCAAGAGATGGTGAATCATTGCTATGTGATCACTCTGGCATTGATACGATTAATAATATGGCTTGTCATGCATTCAGTTAGAATTAATTACAGCTATTGTCAACTGTGTTTAACCAGAAACCTATTTAATGCTTAATACAATTTCATTTTGAGAAGCCTGAAAGTACTATAAAATAATTTGCTGATAATAGATTGGTTTTCCCCTTAGCCTTTACAGCAAGCCAACTGGAATTCCTACATATGGTCAGAATTTTCCATTTCTTTCTGCATATCTGCCACAAGAAACAAATAGGCCTGTAGCATCTGTACCCCTTGCAGAATCACTTTCTTCAGGGTATAGTACAGACAGACCTGCAGCTCCTTCCTTTGGCATGATAACTGACTTGCCGTTACCTGTTCCAACAACAGAAGCACTATCACAGGTATGTATTGGTAGTGTACCTTACAAAATAAGCTGTTCATTTCCCAAAAGATACCATTCATATATCAAATATTAACAATTGGAGAAATTGAATTTGCCAGCAATATGTGAACATACTTTTAAGACGATGATATTCTGAGCTCCAAAATCTTTAGAGATTTTATAGAACTTGAGTATAGGAAAAGTTGTGTCATTTAGCTTAGTGTTTTGTTGTATAGATACCATGCAAGCTGGATTGTTATTTAAAGACATATATTGTTTAATGTTTTTAGGGAAATCAAAATGGATTTGGGTACAAAATGCCTGATGTTCCAGATGTATTTCCAGAACTATCAGAACTAAGGTAAGAAGATTTAAAAGGGTGTGTGTTCCAAATATGGGTCAAAGTTGTTCCTCGATGTTGAAAACCATAGAGTTAACCTTATATCTTATATCTCAGTAAAGCCAGAAAGTTCCTAGTAATATAAAATAAGTCACTGGCAAAATAACTCTTTAGCTAGATCTGAGTAAAAGGTAAAAACTTCAGTATTGTACCAGTTTCACTTTTATTTTTGTAAATACAGTGTGTGCACAATTATTAGGCAAGTGAATATTTTTATGGATATTTTCCGCCCCAGAGCTGTATAAACGTGAATGTTAAATGGATATAAGCATATCAGGTGATGTGTATTTGTGTAATGAGGGAGGGTATGGCCTAAGGAAATCAACACCCTATATCAAGGTGTGCATAAGACAGCTTCTTTTTCTCAAGCAAAATGGGTCAAAAAAAAAGATTTAACTGACTCTGAAAAGTCAAAAATTGTAAGAAGTCTTTCAGAGGGATGCAGCACTCTTTAAATTGCTAAGATATTAGCGCGTGATCACAGAACCATCAAATGTTTTGTTGCAAATAGTCAACAGGGTTGCAAGAAACATGTTGAGAAAAAAAGATGCACATTAACTGCCAAAGATGTGGGAAGAATCAAACTTGAAACTAACAGGAACCCATTGTCCTCCAGTGCTGTCATATTCCAGAACTGCAACCTACCTGGAGTGCCCAGAAGGTGCTCAATGCTCAGAGACATGGCCAAGGTAAGGAAGGCCAAAATCTGACCACCACTGAACAAGACATACAAGTTGAAATGGCAAGACCAATGGCTGGATCAGTAACAGGCACAGACCTCCACTTCGATTCAAAAACCAGAAAGTTGAAGGTGGGGTGCTGGTATGGGCTGTATTATTGAAGATGAGCTAGTTGGACCTTTTGGGGTTGAAGATGGATTCAGAATCAACTCCCAAACCTACTGCCAGTTTTTAGAAGACCCTTTCTTCAAGCAGTGGTACGGGAAAAAATCTGCATCTTTCAAGAAGACCATGATTTTTATGCAGGACAATGTTCCATCTCATGCATTGAAGTACTACTCTACTGTGTGGCTAGCCAGTAAAGGCCTTAAAGATAAATGGATAATGACACGGCACCCTTCCTCACCTGACCTAAACCCTACTGAGAACTTGTGGGCCCTTCTTAAATGGGAGATTTACGGTGAAGGAAAACAGTACGCTCTGAACAGTGTCTGGGAGGCAGTGGTTGCCTCTGCGCAAAAAGTAGATCATCAACAGATCAAGAAATTAACAGACTCCGTGAATGGAAGGCTTATGGCTGTTATTGAAAAGAATGGTAGCTATATTGATTTTTTTTTTTTGTTTGAAATGTCAGAAATATTTATTTGTACATTTTGAGTTTGTTTATTATTCTCACTTTAACAGATGCAAATAAACAAGTGAGATGAGAAAATCTTCGTTTTTCATTTAGTTGCATAATAATTCTGCACACTAATAGTTGCTCAATAATGGTGCACACATAGATATTCTAAGAAACCCAAAACCTCACTTTTACTTTCATAAATATTCAGGTTTGAAGTTTATCAACATTTTGGATTGACCAAGAGCACTGTTGCTGTTCAGTAATAAAATTAATTTTCCAAAATACAACTTGCCTAATAATTGTGCACACAGTGTATTTGATTATGTTCCTACTTTGTTCATTTGTTTAGTAATTGCCATGAACTGTTTTTGCCTGAGCTTTGGTGAATGAATCAGGATTTATTCTCTTAACGGTTCTAGCATTCTCAGAAAAGAAGCAGTGAGTGAGTTCAAGTTTTGGAAGTAATTAGCATTATATCATATGCACCAGAATGAAATGGCACATTATCAAGAAACTCAGTATATACAGTTGTCAAAATAATACAGTGTATATTTTGCCTGGTTGCTAAATACTGTTTTTATTGTCTTTGCAATTCAGCATATCACAGCTGACAGACATGAATGAACAAGAAGATATTCTGCTAGAACAATTTGTTAATCTGCCCCAATTAAAGCATATAATTAATGATAAAGATGATTTAGTGAAAAGTATTGAAGAACTAGCAAGTAAGACTTCCAAATATTTCTTATTAAAATAACATTTTATCAAAAAATGATATTCTTCTAAAATTCAACAGTGGGTTTACCTTGCAGAAAAAAATTTATTATTGGAACCAAGCTTGGAATCAAAAAGACAAACAATACTAGATAAAGTAAGTATGAGGAAAAAATACTTTCTGCAATTTGGGAATTGATTTCTGACCCAGTTTAATAAAAATGTATTTTCATTCTAGTACGAACAACTGATTCATTTCAAAACCACATTTGAAAAGAAAGTACAAAGGCAGCATGAACTTAGTGAGGTGAGTTTTTCCTTTTTGTAAGAGGAAACAAAGCATTATTCACTTATTTGTACAGAAGTTGTTAAGACAGGATTCTAGTTGCAATCCCATCCTGTTTTGGAGGCTAACCTCTTTTAATATTTTTTTTTTCTTTGGAGTTAAAAGTATGATTTTTTTTGTCCTTTTTTAGCTGCCCCAATCTGACAGTTCTAAGTGGCATATAACAAATATATAAAAAGTAACTCATAGTACAAGCTGTTGTAACTACTTTGCAAAATGCTGCGGGGGGGGGGGGGAGAACGACACTGTGGACCTCCTGGGAAATCGACTGAACATTTCCAAGTTACACACTATTCTTTTCACAGAGTTGCAGTGCAAGTGCCCTGCAGGCAAGATTGAAAGTGGCTGCCCATGAAGCTGAAGAGGAGTCTGACACTATTGCAGAAGACTTTCTGGAAGGGAAAACAGAAATAGACGATTTTGTTAGTAGTTTCATGGAGAAAAGAACAGTATGTAGATTTTTCAGATTTCAAAACCTAATGTTTAAAATATTTGAAACCTTAAATAAAATTATAATTAATCCAATTGAAAACTATTGAATAAGTAAAATTCAGGTTTATTTTGCTGTTTTAAAAACAGACACAATTGACTATATAGAGGCAAATTCTTGTATTTAGCAGAGAAGTACCAATACTTAAGCCTTCCTATGTCTGAACAGCTTTTATTTCCCAAATTGCCTAACATTTCTGGCAAGCTATGCATTAAAATTATTGCTTTGTGAAGCATGCGCTAGTGATAGAAATACAACTGTCCTATCACTTTCCTGCTATCTGCAATGCACAGAATAGAGAAATAGCAGTGGTACAGTTTGTTGTTTAAATTGCTTAAGTAGGAGGGGTTAAAAACAAACATCAGTATTACCCCATCCACCCTTATGGTACTGGGCTAAAGAGCCAAAGAGTAAGAGGCCTGTTCCCCACTTCTGTATGAAAGAACACCCTAATGTGTTGAGTTTTTTCTTCCATTGGGGCACAGAATCCTTTTGAATTTTGTTCCATTGGAATAATTCGAGTATATATGTTTTATTTAATAACTGCATTGTTAATGGCAAAATCCAAGGAGAACGTACCCAAGAAAGAATGTACCTTGATATTATTATTGATAGCCTTTAACTAATGTATATTGTAATGTGTGCTACTAATTATTTAAACTGTTAGAAGAATATTTGTTCAGCCTTAAATCAGTAATTTCTTGTTCTAGCTTAAGTATCCTTAGAATGCAGTCTAAGCATATGAATCATCTTCAACTATTGTACTCAAACCCTGTTTATGAAGCTTACTCTGAGATGAACACAAATTTAGTCAAAGTTTGACTTCTTTATTTTGATTGTTTTAGAAACATTATTTTCCACCAAAGTAAATTTGAAATATATGATGTTAAATTGTTCTTCCTTAGATTTGCCACTGTAGAAGAGCCAAAGAAGAAAAACTACAACAGGCAATAGCAATGCGTGGCCAATTTCATGCTCCATTATAGGTACGTTACAAATATGAGGCAGATTCTAATTGTCCTGCCTGCCACAAATTAATTTATCAGGATACATTCATGTAAATAATGTCCAACAGTTCTGAATGGCTAATAGGACACGTTCCTATCATGTGTATTATATTAGTGTATAGTTATGTATGTATGTCCACAGATAAGTGTTACATAATACCACAGAACAGAAACCACACATACAAGAGCTTAAGCTTTTGATTATGTAATTGGGAAAGTTTTACATTGCTTCATGTAAAAACATCACAATTATAAATAATGTCAACTGCTTGTGAAGAAATGCGCCCCAAAAAATGGAATTAGCCAAACCAAACGTAGTCATATTTCATTCTCCAGTAGTTCCCACAATCATCCAAAACGGCTTTTGGGACATGGACATGAAGAGTCCTGGACAATGTGGATTATGTCATGCAATACTGCAAATGGGGTGGAGGGGGCAGGGGGAATCATTAAAGATAATTACTTTATGACTCTGATACAATATGTTATATGGCAACTTTCAACAATATATACAGTTTTACTTTGTCTTTTGAGTTTAGCCTTTTATGAAAGCGATCCGTGCAATCAGGGATTAAAGGTTATATATAAATTTCTGCCTTAAATTAATCTGAATTTAAGAAAATGTAAAGTTTTGTATGTGTGCATTGAGAACTTTGACTAATGGTAGATACTTTTTTCTGTTCACAGAATTTTTTTCCAGCTAATTAGAATTTAAGGCAACAAATCCAGCAAAGCACATTTTCATAGATCTATTATTTTGCAAATAAGCATTTCATTATGGTTGTATTTATAGAAAAAACTGTATATAGAGCTGGGGGTGATTTTTTGTACAAATTAGAGTGTCTTTCTATTCTTATTTTATTCAAAATGTACTTCTACTGCAATTTTTGCACTAATATTTCTTGTTATTGATACCCTTATCATATTTAATTTCATGCTGCTGTCTCTACCACCTTTATAGATTAAATATTTCAACATGTAATTTTGACTAGATTTATAAATTTTATACAGCATAATCCATAACTTTCTTATTAAATACTGACTGGTTTGTTTGAGAGGCATAGAAATGTTGGTTGGCTAAAGTAAGTTACAAGTAAAATAAGGTAGATTTTTTTCATCTGGCTTTACCAGAATGCACCAGAATTCAATTTCTTGAAATCAGGTTTTCACCCATTTTTGTATCATGTCACTAAATAGAGTTCAAGTACTTAACTATACACTACAGCAATCAGACTTGAATAGCTAAGAAACTGAAGAGCTAAAAGTTTTAAACACCCCTTCAAACTTTTCGAGAAAATCAATATGATTTATGTAGAATCCTTTCTTTTAATTTTGCCACTCATTGCTTTGGGAAGTATCCTACCTCAAGCCTCAAATGGAGATAGGCATAATTCTCTCCAATTCTTGTATCTTATTTTCTTATTTGTGTTGAAGCAAATGAATGGGTATATTGTATAAGTGCTTGGTATTCCTACATTTGCTTTATTTCCTGATCTCTGTACTCTTTTGCCTGAGTGTGTCCATGTGTTCATATAAGCACTTTTGAAACCACGAAGGAAAAAATAACTATCTAGTATATATATTACCAACAATTATATTATTTAGTTCCAATAGAATTAACTCAAACCCTCATCTCTCATTCCCTGCATCAGACATAAAATATCAAGTTTATTCACCTGTTCAGTATTATGTTGGCAAAATGTAGTGAAATAACTGCAGTCCTAGATCACTCTTCTACAGAGGTAAAATTGAAGTTATCCTACACTAAAAATACAACCAAAGAATTTTATTTTCATATAAAAATAGTTTAATTTTATGTCTTGCATGTTTATAAGAACTCAAAATGTTTTTAGGATAATTAATTCTTTTTTTTTTCTTTAGATAATTGGCAAAAATCTATAAATGACAATATTGCAGAAAACTAAGTCTTAGGAGTGTACATTCATGACTTGTTTTTTTTTTCCTTTCATTGCTTAAATAAATTGCATTTTCTTGAACAATTTATAGGGCTTCTCTCCAAAAAGGTTCAATATTGGTATTTGCATTTTTAAAGCAGAATATTCAATTCTGCATATGGAAAAGTATCTGTAGAGTTCAACTTTATATACTTTGGGACGTACTGATAACTTTTGAGACTTAAACTGGAAATAAATACATTTGGTGGAACAAATACTATTGCTTATATGTATCTTTTAGGTTATCAGTTCTTCAAGAATCCTTGTTTCCTGATCTCAGCTTCTCACCCTCTGGCAGTATTTAGATTTAAATTAGCAATATGTGTTTGAAAGTTATTTAATTGTACATATCTCTTACTATTGCTCCATAGTCTTTTTATGTAAATGAAACAGTGTAGTTATGATTATACAGGTTTTTTTATTGTAAATGTCAAGCTTGAACCATTTCCCCATCACTTAGAAATGTTGAGGGAAATCACTGCTTAGAAATTTAATTTAAAATTTAATTCAAGTTAAGCCACAACATAGTTTGTTAATATTTAATGTGAACTCGGCTACTGTGTAGTGAATCATGGTTTATGATAACCGCATTACATGAACCCAACCAAGTGCGATTTATAAAGACAGTGTTCTTAATCTGGTGCTTGAAATCAACCAAAGGGTAGAGTTTCAAAATATATCAAGTCCTCTTCCAAGTGAAGCGTGCTCATCAGTGGGTTGTGAATTGTATACTCTTGCTTTGTTGCTGTCAAGGTCTTCCTGAATCAGCATGGGTTTATACGAATAATGAAAAAAGCTGTGTTATCTGTAGCACTACCTCCATTTCAAGCCCCTTCCTTCTTTCCATACAGGAATAGTGCCATGCTGTGTGCACTTGTATTGACTCTTTATCCTGAAATGCTTTGCATGGATGGGGGTAACTGAGGAATTAGAAATTACCTTTCTCATATTAATTGCTGATTATATAGTTATAAAAACTCTGCATCATATCACAGTATTGATAACAATACTCCAACATAGGTAATGATGGAATCAACCAAGGGAAAATCAGGGAAGCAAGCACAAACTCGCGATTTTGTCAAGTTCAATTTAATTTTGTTTATCAATGGTAACAAAAATATAATCAAAAGGACACTTTTGCTAACCTATTATTTTGAGGCCTCTGTACAATGGAGATCCCATAGAGGAAAGGGAGCCAATTTATTATGATGTGAAAACAGCGGATGAGAAATCATTCCATTCCCTGTAACAGTATATTTAGATGATGGACTACCAAGACAAATGGCACTAAAAACCACTGGGAAGTTAGGAGGCTATCAACATGCATGAATGAACCGTGGGTTGTGTTTTTTAAAGGGTAAGGACTACAAGTCACCTTTCTTCCTGAAAACAAAAACATAGGTCAATGTGGATTTATTTTCTAACCATTAGCAGAAGTGGACATGAGTATGATATGAAAACTAAACTAGAATTCTAAAGTAGCTGGCTGAAACCAATGACCAAAAGTTTTCATTCTAGGCATAAAAATCTGTACATTTTGTGGCCACTCCCATTTAATCATCTAAAGTTTAATATGATGTTCCACTTTAGCCACAAACAGAATAGTTATAAAATTCAGTCATTTTGTTTTCAGTTTAGAAGATAAACTTTTACAATAGTTTTCAAGAGCTCACTGGATGTTTTTGCTATATTATAAATACCACTTTGAATTAAGATTCTAGAGCAGTGATGGCTAACCTTTTTCTTGTCGTGCTGAAAGTGAGCACGTGTGCCTATACCCATAATTCAATGTGTGTGCAACCAACCCCCTGACCCCCTGCGCATGCATGTGCACTGTGTGCCTCTGCATGCATGTGTGACCCCCCCATGGGCACTGGGGCCCCTGCGCATGTGCACATCTCCTGCATGCACATCTGTGCCTGCACATGCACGCATGTCTCCTGCATGCATGTGTCCCCCTGCGCATGCATGGCAGATACCCGACAATCGGCTGGCGGGCGGGCACGCATGTGCAGTGGGTCTGTTCTGGGCGACCTCTTGCATGCTGGCAGAAATGGCTCTGTGTGCCACTTACGGCATGCATGCCATAGGTTCTCCATCACGGTTCTAGAGTGTAACACTAAAAAAAAGACAATTGGACAACCGAACATTACTGTTTATAACGTTCTAAATTATACTCCTAATGCCAACAGTATACAGTGCATACTATATCTTTAGTTTTGCAATACTTTTAGTAATAATAATGTAGCATTGGCACTATACAAGACAACCTATTAAATTAAAGATCTCTGGACTCCAAGTAAACCAGGAGCTAAATAGGAATAGCTGCAAGTGTAAAATACACTACACAAAATTTCTAGAAGACACAATATGGTATATTCTACTGTATCTCCATAACATAGATTTTATGGCAAATTTGACCCTCATCCATTCATACTTTACAGAGTAGCCATTTTACAGAAGAGTACATTTGTATTTTAGTTCAGCACTACCTGTTGTACATCACACTTTGTGTCAAAGTAAGATAAGATACTAAAATCTGGTTATAAATTTATAAACATGTAACTTTTTTTAAAAAAATAACCAGATTATTACATGCAAAACAGCTATCTCATGGTGGGAGTTCAGTGCAAGATGCATTGCACCAAAGGATCCTGCTTTATTTCACAAAAAGAGCAGAGTTCTTACATTTGCCTGATCTGGACGGTCTGGTGAGGTGTAACTGAATTGCTGTCTGCTCTGTTTATCACATTTTGGAGAGGTGAGGTAAGTCATTAAAACATGTAGACATGATAGCTTTATCTTCCCTGGATAAAATTAATTTTCTTTTAAAACCATTAATGTCCATTACCATATCTAATAATACAAATCTCGTAAGTTTTCAGTAGGTCTTTTACAAAGAACACATCCTTTTACTGGCCAGCTTGGTCCCAGGTTCCTCTTTTAGCTTTAATGTGCCCCCTGAAACTCTTGTATCTACTCCCCTGTTTAAGGATACCTCGTAACAAAATAAGAACTTTTAGTTGGGGCGGGGGGAGGGAGAGATGGAGTAAGAAGGGCATTAAATATGTAACTGGCGAGTAAATCAATTACATTTAATTGGTTGGAGAAAACTTCAATGTTTCAAAAACCTGATAGGTGGTATAGGTTACAGAAATGCTAAAAAACAACTTAGTGATCAATACCCATATTTATGACCTTCACAGCCTCTGTCTGCTCTTATTCTCACTTGCTTATTTACCTCATACCAAGATAACCTCAAAGAGAAAGGAAAAAAAGCCCAGGTCAGTTGAAGGAAGTAGCCAAAGCAAAGGAAAACTGAAGTAAAATTATAAGTGTTATTGTGGTCATGTGATTTTCATTTGTTTCACTTAACCAGGTTGCCCATCCCAATTGGGGTCAATAAACAAGGACTACCTATATTTGTGAAAGGATCAGTGATTTATTATAAACTGATGAGGATGACTATGAAAGAGAATTTGGAAAGATAATTTTTTTCTTTGCAATTTCCTAACTTTCTTTGAATGGCATATAAAGTATTTTAATCTACTAGATGCCCTAGTCACCATCTTCCAATAGTCCACTCCAAAAAATGTACACAGGAATAAGTGTGCCCATGTCCACCCTCCTTTGTCATGATCTCGATCCTATTCCACAATTCAGAAGATGAAAAGTATACAGTCCCCGCTACTTTAACCTGAACTTATAAAGTGGGTAAATGTGAAAAGGCAATATAGAGTTAGTCCTGATTAATATTTGGGAGGGAAGAGAGATCCCCATAATCCCAGATTGGGGAGAAAAGAGAGGACATTCTGGGAGAAGACAATGGCAGACCATTCTGTCAGGAAAACATGAATGTGTCCATACAGTCACCAGGAACTGTTCCATTGAAGACAAGCTACTTGAAGAGAAAAATGGGGGGAAATAGCATTTGCAGAGGCATCAACAGAAAGTGTTATTACTACGAATCAAGTCAGAACTAATCTAGAAAATCTGATTTGGTTATTTCAATCTTAATTTTCCAAATTTCTTCATCGATGTTCTTCAATAAGCAGGTATCTCTGACAATATTTTAAGTCCATATGTGGCCATCTTCTTCAACACATTTTTTTTTCAAGATTGTAAAAGTGAAACCAAACAGAAGAGATCTATTTGCTTTTTTCATTTGAGTATTTTTTGGGTGTCAAGGTAAGATAACATTATATATTGGTTTGGTCTGGATTGGATTGACTTTGGCATTGTTTAGACATAATTTCTTGTCACTTTTGGAGTGATGTTACTATACATAGTTATCCTATTGATAATAGTTACGTAAAACAAAATGTTCACTCTTATATGGCTCCGTAAATGAATAACGGAAGATAATAAATGCAAAAACATTCAAGCTTATTACTTTGTCATATACGGACTCTAAGTGCATAAATCCCTTTCTTTGGAAGTTTTGATAGGCAGTCTTTCATAATCTACTAATCAAGTTACCACTCAGAGAGTGAGAAAAACAGCTTCATCTGAATCATGGTCTCTAGTGCTATCTTCACTGGGTAAGCCGCCTCCACCTGGGGACCGACAACTCATATCCTCCACACCAGATTCCTGATCGCTGTTGGCTGACAGATCGGGATCAGAACTTTTCAGGTTGTCCTGTGTAAGGATGAGTGCTGAGTCTTCATCTCCCTGTGAAGAACTCCGAGATGGGAATGATTTCAGATTGGAGGTGTAATCTTGGAGTGATTTGGCCATGTAGCCACTGGATCTTCCATTTTCCTTTTTTATCTTTGCCTCATTATTTAATTGCCCGTTTGTAAGTTTTGCCAGTCTCTGCAAGACAAGAAACAAGAATCCATTGGCCTGCTAAAATATATCCAAACTAAAGGAAACAAGCCTAGGAAATTGCAGATTTATATACCTGCAGTTTTCTAAAGTGTCTCTTTGACAGAGGTTATTCTTGATTTCTCTAGGGGAGAAATTGTAGGTGGGAGATTATAGAACAGGAAGAAAACAAGTTTCAAGGCATTTTTCCATGTTCATGGAGCATTTTGTGCCATTTATCATCTGACTACTCAACAAAATCGCATAATAATGAAAACAAGTAGGAGAAACAGGAAAGAAAACAGATGAACAAGAATGTCGCCCTGTAGTCAGTAGGCAATTAAAAACAACTAGAAGGTTTTGTTTAAAAAAACCTAGAAAATAAATCTTCCCAAGTATGCATGTACAGAAAAGGGGACTGATTCTCATTCAGTCCTAGGCGATCATCAAATGCAAATGAATCATCCGCTACAGCTAGTATAGATACCTGACAGAGAAGCATTATAGCAATCATCTCTATCCTTCTGAGTTAAGGAATATTCAGGGGATAGATAAGGATATTTTAACAACCTTAAGACGGGCAAAAAAGGAAGAGGTTACATATGGACAGAATAGTGATTACCTAGAAATCTAACTAAGGGTGGGCTGATTTCAGTGGTTCTATTGCAAAATACTAAAACTTCCTTCCAGCATGTTCTATTAAATAACTGTTTCATTAAAAGAAAAGCATAATTAGATCTAAGTTTTATTGGTAAGAATCCCAGCAACAAGTAAGTTGCCTATCAGAAAAGAGCCAGAATAAGCTTGAGGTGACCTGTAAGAAAAGATGAGAAATAATTGCTTTGAAAATAGCTCACCCAATTGAGGCCCAAATTTTACTGTAATGCGAAAGACTAACAGTAATTAATTAGAAATTGAGTGTAATTCTGGAATTCCTACTACTCATTTTAACTAAGGAAGTCTTCCACGGATTGTAAATCGTAGGACGGAAAACACAGGAGAAAATTGATTTTGAAATTGTACCGGAAGTAAGAAATTTACTCATTAGCAGCTGTTATCAAAGTAAAAGAAATAAATATCTATTTCAAAAATATACCATAGAGCAGTGCTTCTCAACCTTGGCAATTTTAAGATGTGAGGACTTCAAGTTCTAGAATTCCTCAGCCAGCAAGCCTCACTGGGGAATTCTGGCAGTTGGTCCACATATCTTAAAATTGCCAAGGTTGAGAAATACTGCTCTTATTGCCAAATATGGGGTGGAAGAAATATAATCCTCTACTCAATGCTTCAGCTAGAAAACCTTCCAAAATTACATCTATCTATAAATAATACCCTGATCAACTGCATTGATGTTGAAATATACTTGAATTGATGCATATGCCAATGGCCAATCACATGCTCAAAAGACGGGGTGAAACAGAGCAATATATAAATTTTATAGTTATAGAAAACCAATTATACATACCTCTTCTAATATCACCAACTCCTCCTCCAACTGTTGTGTTTCTTCTTTCACGGCCATCAGATATTCTGTAACAGATTGCCTTGGATGGAGTCCCTTTTCAAAACGGTTGTACATTCCACTCCAAAACCTGAAAAATAAAGAAGATTTAAAATCCTACATAAATCGTTCAACCCATAGAACTTGCTCCTAGAGAAGTTAACAGAGAATTCCATTGCGCAATGTAAAACAAATTAACACAGGCCTCTGTTTGGGAAACTAATGGGGAAGAATTCTCTCAGCTTTTAAAATTATCACATAAAAATCGTTCAGATTCTCATATTTATAGACTATTTTACAGCACAGAAGTGTGAAAACACATCTTTATTTCTCAGAATATTCTGACTAAAAGATTTTTCACTTTGGCAAAGTGAATCACATCATGTTCAGATTTTTAAAGATGGTAGGATTAAAGTGGATTTGGTAGGATTAAAGTGTCAAATGCTATCTGTGTAACTTTAACATTAAATGTAGAATCTCACATATTGAGATATGAGAACTCTGATAAACAGAAAGCTACTCTGAATGCATGAGTTACACCAATTATTGAAATGACAAACCCAATGAATTAGCATTTTCCCATAACTGATGCAATGCTTATACGCAGAATGATTTTGAGACCTGTGGGGGGTCAATAGAAATCCTGCATCAAAATTAATAAAATAGCCAGTGCCTATCTTATTTGTTCCCTGATACAAATATTTGGTTGAAAGATTAAATAGTTCCAAGAAATACATATGTGAAGCCTTTCTCCCTGAACTTCCAGCATTAAGTAATCCAGCTTGCTGGATATTTTAAGTGCAGCTTTATTGCTGTAATCGACTTTAGGAAGCAAATTCTCATTCGATTGTTCAGGATGTGAAACTGCCAAATGTTTTTGATGTTAGTGTCATGTATGTCAATTTTAATAGGCACTTTATAAGCCACAAGTTCATTTCTTTTTATACTCGATATAAATGACCTTTGCGATCACCTTATAAGCAACTGTGTCCTCTTCGCGGATGACAACAGACAATGCTACTGCTCTTCAAAGTGGCCTTGATTATGTGTCTGAATGGTCAAACAATTGGCAACTCCAAATCTCAACCAACAAATGCTCTGTCCTACACATTGGTTAAAAAAAATCAGCACACCAAATACAAACTAGACAGATATGACCTCACTGATGACCCTCACTCTGTCAAGGACCTAGGAGTACTCATATCTAATGACCTAAGCGCCAGAGCTCACTGTAACAGCATTGCCAAAAAGGCATTAAGAGTTGTAAATCTCATTTTACGAAGCTTCTCTGGAAATATTGAATTGCTAACTAGGGCATACAAAACCTTTGCTAGACCATTACTCGAATACAGTTCATCTGTCTGGAATCCACACTGTATATCAGACATTAATACAATTGAGTGAGTCCAGAAGTATTTCGCGAGAAGAGTACTACACTGCTCCGCTCGCAACAGAATACCCTACACAACCAGACTTGAAATTTTGGGTTTGGACAACTATGCCACCTATGGTTGGACTTAAGCATAGTACACAAAATTATCTGCTACAATGTCCTACCAATCAATGATTACTTCAGCTTCAACCGCAACAATACAAGAACACACAACAGATACAAACTCAATGTTAACCGTTCCAAACTTGATTGCAGAAAGTACTTCAGCAACACAGTGGTCAATGCCTGGAATGCACTACCTGATTCTGTAGTTACATCCTCAAACCCCCACTCCTTTAACCACAAACTATCCGCTATTGATCTCACCTCATTCCTAACAGGTCTGTAAGGGGTGTGCATAAGTGCACCATCGTGCCTCCCTATTGTCGTATTGTCCCCCTTTAATCGTACCTATTTTCTGTATTCTTACTCATGTTTATACTTATACCTATTATTTTGTAAGTGATTGACAAATCAAATAAATCAAATAAAAAAATGCAAGCTAGTCATCAACAGTCTTCAGCTGATGAATTTCAGATAATGCTTACACTATAGCAAACGTACGAAAATAAATTTGCAAGAATTTATTCATATCAATGTAGGTTTTATCTAAAAGAGTCAAAAGAAAATGTTAGAAATGTGTTGGACATTTCAGAACATTTTCAACAACACAATAAAAACAAGCCACATTGATTTCCTAAGAAACAGACAATTTAAAGTGGGCTTTCTGATTCAAGGTTTTGGAGGATACGGATTTTAGAAAATTTTATAATATCGGGAACATTTATACGTCACAGAAAGCACAAATAATTGTTAATGGAAATCTAAACAAAACTTTGTGAGATATTTAAAGAAGGAATAAAACAGTGATGCCACTATTCCCACTTCTGCCTTTTTTGGTTCTTTAAATACTTATAGGACAATTTGAAACAGAAGAACAAGTGAATGAATGTATGATAAGGAGGCTAAAAATTGGTTATAATATACAGATGGAACAACAGGAAAACATGTGCCTCAAAGGATTGAAATTTACAATGATCATAATCTTAAAAAGGATTTTATATAAGATAATGTACTCTACTATCAGTGTATATCTGGGGTGTCAAACTCAAGGTCTGGGGGCCAGATCTGGCCCACAGGGTGCTTAGATCTGGCCCGCAGGTCTACCCTGGAAACAGCAAAGGACCGGCCCGCAGTGCCTGTGCCAGAGAAAACAGAACTAGGGAGGGCTGCGTGTGGCCGTCCCAAGCTCTGTTTTAGCTGGTAGAGGGTTGCAGGAGGCCATTGCAGCCGAAACAGAGCTTCGGAGACAGTTTTCGCTGGCAGAGTGCTGAAACTGCCACAGGCACCCCCAACACGAGTGACACTGAGCTGGCCATGCCCACCCTGACCACGCCCATCCCGCCCCCCCAAAGGTCAAACACAACCCTGATGCGGCCCGCAATGAAATCGAGTTTGATACCCCTGGAATAAATCATCAGAGAAAATGTCTGGAGTGGGAATGTATACTTCACATTTATGTTGGAAATGTGAATTTTGTTTCTTTTTCTTTTTTCTTGAGTATTTTTTTCCTTTCTTGAACTTTTAACTTTCTCTTTGACTTTTTTTCTTTTCTTTTTCTTACTTTATACTACGTCTATACTAGCTTTACTCTTTCTTTTAATTTTTTTTCATAAAATTATATTTTAAAAAGTCTTTTGAAAGTCTAGCAAGCTTTGGAGAAGAAGCTATATTACAACAGACATGTTATAAACAACCTAAGTGAGGCTGAGCTCTCATGTTACCTAATTCCTCTGATTATTCATAGATGACATCATTATAAGTAGATCCGTGGCAGGGTTAACTAGAAGTCATACTTGGATAAAGAGCAGAGCTGTCCGGAAAAAACGTGAGAAACTATTTTAAGAGGCTCTGTAACACTGTAAGGTCTAATGATAATGCCAAACCTATAGTACTCCAGTTTCATTCTTGAAAAAAATGGGTGGCTTGATGTTAATTTTAAAAAGCAGATTTCTTTCCATAAGTTACAAAGAAATAAAAATCACAATATTTTGCATGCATATTTTTAACCTCATTTTTTTTTATTTAGCAGAATCCCAGCTTCCACATCAATGATAATATACATCACTAATTCTGAACTAAGAGAGAAAACAGACCTATATATACTGTCTCTCTCTCTCTGTGTGTGTGTGTGTGTGTGTGTGTGTGTGTGTGTGTGTCTGGTATTCAGCTTTGTTCGGGTATTTTCCCACGTCATTATAGTTGTGCTTTTAAAGTTGTAGCAACGTTTCGGCAGAATCTCATCTGCCATCATCAGGCTTCTGTATTGTGTTCGAACAAAGCTGAATACCAGACATGTAAGTACCCGTGAAAAGTTAAGAAAACATATGTGTGTGTGTGTTAAGTTTTCGCGGGTATCTATATGTATGGTATTCAGCTTTGTTTGGGTATTTTCCCACATCATTATAGTTGTGCTTTTAAAGTTGTAGTGATGTTTCAGCAGAATCTCATCTGCCATCATCAGGCTTCTGTACTGTATTGTATACAGAAGCCTGATGATGGCAGATGAGATTCTGCCGAAACGTCACTACAACTTTAAAAGCACAACTATAATGACGTGGGAAAATACCCAAACAAAGCTGAATACCATACATACAGACAGACATACATACAGACAGACAGATACACCAAGCTTGAACATCTAAAGCTTTTATCTGAGCATTATTTCAAATTTATAAATCACTTTTCAAGGATGATGGATTATCTTCCAAAGGTTGTTTACAAAATTCCACAGCAAATGTGACAGAAAGTGAACAAATGAAACAATTTTTACAACATCTGGTCCTAATTAAAAGTATCTATCTTATATATTAATATAATTATATTTTATTCTACACAGCAATGTGTTACACTTTCACAGCAAAGAAGAAGGAATTGGGGAAGGTTGGTGACAGTTTACCATCGATCTCACAGCTATTTGCAATAAATTTGCACATTCTTTAAGTCAGGGACAATTGTTAGCTCATTCAGATGCCACTTACTTCAGATGCCACTTACTTCAGATGCCACTTACTTGTAGATAAAATGGGAGGGAGCTGATTGTGGATGAAGGGTCCTGTTGTTGTCTTCCCGATACAGAGGGTTCAGATAATCGGCATGGTTCTTCCATAAGTGAGCCCAAAGTGAATAAGTCCGTTCCTGAATTCTGAGGGACAATTTATAATAAAATTCTATAAACTGCATTTGCTATTTCTCTCATCCCGATATTGAAAGATTCCATGAGCATGCCAAAAGAGTAGATACACATTTAGAAAGGGTAGAATTCAACTATTTGGAATTAGGTGCCCTTTGTAATAAATTTTTTTTAAAGGCTAAGCTCTCCAGATATTTCAGAACCACAACCCCAGTGGATATGGCCAATGGTTAGGGAAAATCTCAACCTACAGAATTTAATTTCCTAATACTGCATAGAAACTATGGCATCCTATGCACATATGTGGCCTGAGTAATTTTCTGTTTTGTTTTGTTTATAATATTTGCAATCATCCACCAAGAATAATTATGAAGAGATTCAAAATTAATAAAAAGAAGCATTTTGTTGTGTGACACAAGAAAATTAAGGAATGGGATTTACTGCCATAAGATATGATACTGGTCAGAGTGCTTGTGCTCTGATCTGGGTAGGTGCTCACATTAATCTCATTCTGTAACTGATCCTATGAATTAAATAGCCAAAGAACCACGGTCTACTGTTCTGTGTAAATCAATAGGTGGTAGTGTTGGATTATTCTGGGCAATAGCAGGGGAGCCACGGTCAGCAGACTAGCTAAGGAGCTAATCATTGGAATTATTAAATTCCAATTTTCTTGGCTTTTATCCTTATAACATTCTATATTTTTTGATGATAACTTTCTGACAATAGCAATTGAGATTTCATTTAATTAATTTAAAAGACAACTAAGATGAACAAATTAGAAACCCTCAAAGAAAAACTCTGAGCCTATTATCAGACAATCACAGCTATCCAACTGAAACCATTTTCTCAGGCTCTCTACAGTTATGTTTTATATTTACCTAAAAGGAAGGGTCTTCTCCGATCTTCCAAGTTACTTTTAAAATGAGAATATCATCTTATGTTCATGAGAATTCAGGAGATAGATTATGTTTCAGACATCTTCCTTTCAAGTAAAGCAATTTTTGGAGAATTCTTTTGGTTGCAATAAGTATTCAAGGAGATGGATCTTTTATTATTTAGTAATATTTTCAAACTTTTACTGATTTTATTTTATTATTATATTGGGGTTTTAATATATAATCAGTTTGAAAGGATTAAACGATTTTCTCTAATGTCTTGGTTAAGATTCCACATTGAAGTGTCATGTTTATCAGAATAAAGAATCATTCTGGTATACTGTGCAGACATTTTAAAAAGTGTCTTACTTGAGCTCCTGTCTTTCCTTCTGATTGTTACACAAGAAGTTTCCAAACTGGCAGGAATATATATGATGCTGTATGTGGATCAGGAATCTTTCGTTGAATTCAAAGGCACAAGGAAACTGTTCCATAAGCTGCCAAACACACTCAATAAATTGATCGATAACTGGTGATATCTCCTTTGGGTCTCCATCTAAATTGCCATACCTACATCAATGCCAGGGGAAAATATTCACAACTGTTAACTTTCTGAAATTCTGGGTGTTGGCACAACATCTTCCATCCTAATTGTCAGTTCTACTATTTGCTTCATTTGCAGAATAAAATTTGCCAGAGCACATGTATCCATGTCAGTTGGATTGTAACCACAAATATGTCAAAATGACATACGCTATATGATATCATCATGCAACTATTACAACTGCATTCTTGTGCCCAATGAGTGATGAAAGTACAAAATATTGGCCCTTATGTGATGCCATATGTCATTTCCTTTCTTTCCCTGCCCCCTTTCCGCCAGAAGTCCCCATAGCCAGCTAAAACCTGAATAGCATAATGGATTTTACTCATGTATTGATTAGTCCAGTAAGAAAGAAGACTGGGCTCATGTATCACCACAAGTGGCATAATATGATTTGTGTGGTTTTCACATAGGCTAATGTATGAACCTGGCCACTGTACTTTATAAACCACAGTTTATAACCACACAGTTATGTGTGAACCAGGCTGATATGGTTTTTTAAACAAACAGCAGGGATAGGATTTTACCAGTTTGGACCAGTTTGGTTGAACCAGTAGTACTGGTGATCAATAGGTCCCACCCACCAGCCCCTGCCCTTTTCCTTTGCTTTATTTCCTTGTTTTTAAGCACAGCTGATTTGCGTGGCAGACTGGTTGGCCGTGCATCAGCTGTTTTACTCACCAGGGCTGCAGCGGAAGGTAAGTATTATAGCTAAAATGGTCTTTTCTAAATTCTGGGTGCGTGCATTCACTGAACCAGTTGTTACATCGGTTGAATTGTACCACTGACAAACAGTAATTAAAATCTTGATTTAGCGCAGTGTATAAACCCAGCCAATAAGCCTAGAAAAACTTTTCAAAAGTTAAATAATCAAAGGAAAGGTGATTAAGAAAAGTTCCAGTTATACTCAATCAAATTTGGACATGCTTAAAAATGAGAAGAAGAAAAAAAATTTCATTTCACTATACTCACTATACTACTATAGTTAGTCTAATGATTAAAGCACAGGGATAAGAATGGGGAGCACCCAAGATCTAATCCTCTCTTATACCCAACATCAAAATTTTTGGTAACTCTGGGTCAATCATTATCTCTCAGTCTGAGATAGATGGTACTGGCCAATCACTTCCAAAATGTCACTAAGAAAACTGCATAGGCCTGTCCATGTATTTACGAAGAGTCAAAAATGATCCAAGTGACCACAACAAGAACATGATGCCATCAGAAATGTTCTATGGTCAATATTGAATATTAGATGTTTATCTGATGTTCTCTGGCAGCAAAGTACCTGGTTGCCACTTCACAGAGCAATCTATACAATCATGCTTACCTGTGATTAAATTTATGACCAAACGAAACCCAATCTTTATCAATTAATACCTGAAATAAAAAAGTAGCATCAAAGGAGACTGTAGAGGTTTTATCAAGAAGCAGAAAATTATGTTTCTTATTCTAATTAATTGGATTATTAAAAATAATCCTGATATTTCACAATCAGAAAAAAACAGAATGGGGCAACTCACTGTGGCAAGCTTGCCACAGCCAGCTCACCACAGCCAACTCGCCACCTCCAAGTCGCTACAGGACAACTCCACATGACCATGGTGAGTTGGCCACACTGAGCTGTCCTAGACCCCAGAAAAAAGGGTAAGAGTTTTATCAGGGACAGTGATCATACTGTTATGAATTTTAGAAACTGATTGGCACCCTACTTAGATGGCAAAATACAATTTTGTTATGCTGGAAATTTGCTATCCATTTATAGAATAATTCTTAACATGTTGATATTCAAATCACATCTGATACCTGTACAATTAGCACAGGAGCCCCCAAGGCTGTGTGCTTTCTTCACTTCTCCCTATATACCAATGACTGCATCTCAAACAATAAAGTACTGAAGTTTGCAGATGATACAACAGTGATTGGCCTCATTCGAGACAACGATGAATCTGCATACAGACAGGAGGTTGTACAACTTGCCTTGTGGTGTAACCGGAACAATCTGGAACTGAACACACTCAAAATGGTAGAAATGGTGGTAGACTTTAGAAGAAACCCTCCCATAGTACCACCTCTTACAATACTAGACAACACCATATCAACAGTAGAGACCTTCAAATTTCTAGGTTCTATCATATCACAAGACCTAAAATGGACACCTAACATCAAAAACATCATCAAAAAAGAACAACAAAGAATATTCTTTCTGCACCAACTCAGAAAGCTCAAACTGCCCAAGGAACTATTCACTAAATAGTTTGATGTTATTAAAAAAACATTTCATTTTAATTATATTAAAACGAACTCACAACATCCCTTTTCATGCTAATTAAAACTGTTGTCAGGGTTCCGACCAGTGCCCTAACGCAATTAAGAGTCTCAAGCCTCTGACTTACCATAAATCCTTTTATAGTTCTGTAATATGGATCTAATAGAAGGCTTGCTACAGAGCAAACCTGGGCAGTCCGGTCCCATCCATCTGAACAGTGAACAAGAACACTGACTCCCTCTTCAGCAACAGCCTAAAACAGAAAGAAAGGAGGAATGTAGCTTTGATTCCTATAGAAGGAAAAATAGAGAAGGCACAATCTTAAGTATGTAGAATGTCAACTCTTAACATCTCAAGGTAAAGTTGGAAATATCTCTGCTAGAAACCTTGGGTAGCCATTGTCAAATGTGAACAATACTCAACTGGATGGATCAATGGTCTTGAGTCAGTAGGAAGATCTATTCACAATGTTGCAGCCAATGTAATACACTGAAAGGCTTTTGTACATAGTGAATAACCGTATTTTGCTGGGTGGGAATATACCATAAAATCTTTTCCTTTCATCATCTCTGTCCTTGGAGAAGCCGCCAACGGGTCACTATAATTTGCCTTTTATTCCACTGATATTCTCTACTATTTCTTTGCACTGAGTTTGCCTTGAGTTTTCTTTTGTAATACTAATTATGAATGTGCTTCATGTCCAGTTGTAGCATTTCATTCTGACAGTGCAATACACACTTATCCAAGCATACGTGTGACATTTAAGAAAGAATGGCAAATATCAGGAAATTGGCATCACCAGTTATGCTAGACAAAAATAGGTTCACGAACTTATGCCACAATTTGGGCAACACTTCTCTGTGTAGTATCTAGCATCACGTCCAGCACTGTGTTATTTTCTAGGACAGAGGCACAGATATGGACCATATTAATTTTATTCCATAACACATCCTTGCAAGTGGAAGAAAATAAAAGATTTTCCATTACCTGAAATGGCACATCCCCATTTTCATTTACAAATCATATATTGTACCTTTGCAATAAAGATGCCCGCATCCATAATGGCTTTGATGTGCTTCAACCAGCCTGAATTCTCTAGCCCCCAGAGGAAATCACTCATTGAAGGAGATGTCAGCTCGCAGACTGCAAAATAAGCCCATTTCAGCAGACTAGAATTTTTAAGTTGCTAATTTTACATGGTAAGTCTAGTATAAAAGGGAGGGATTTATTTTCACATACATGTTGGTCACTTGTTCGTTGCACGACTGATTTGCAAACATGATCAGCCATTATATACCAGTTTGACTTCTTGCACTGCTGCAAGCCATATGCTTTTAAATTCTGGGGAAAATATGCGTAAGTTTTTTTCCTGAACACCATCACTCTGCTAAACAAATAATTCGCTCAACACTGTCCAACTATTTACAAAGTCTGCACTACTATTACTATTAATTTTCTCATGACTCCTGATCACCCATCCCCTCTCACTTGTGGCTGTATGACTGTAACTCTGTCGCTTGTATCCTTACAATTTATATTGACTGTTTCCTAGCATGATTTGATTGCTTATTGTACCCTATGACTATTATTAAGTGTTGTACCTGATGATTCTTGACTCTCGATGAATGAGAATTCTATTCTATTCTAAAGTCCCCAAAATGAAAAGGCTGTGTTGACAGATACTGAATTAAGAACTGCTGTACCCAAGGTCTCTTCATATTTTAACCCAGTAGGTGTGCTTGTCCTCAAAATAGCAAGACTAAGTTTATCTTCTACAGGGCTTCAGTTCACTCATATCTTTTTTAAGAATGCAACTAAAAGACCAATGTTGGAAGAAAAGGTTCAATTAAACTTTCCCTCTTCAAAATCACAGTCTCTTAAACTGGCATTTCATCTTAAAAATGGAAGACATAAAGGAGCTGTACAATTGTGTAAGCTTGGCCATTCCCCAGCTGCTGACATGAATAAAAAAAAAAATTCTTGGCACATAGGAGGAATATAGCCATTAAGCTCTTTCACGTCAAGCAGAATGCTGATCCATTCAAATTGGTGAGAAATTGCCTACATACACATCTGAAGTTGTGGCAGATCGCTTTCCTATAGGCTGCAGAAGGGTTCCAAAACCCAACCTCTATATCCAGATCTGGTAACCTCAGATTGAGCCAATCCAGATACACCGAACCTGATGTCTTCTTACATATATGCTGTACTTATCCCCTATGGGTTAGAAATTAGTAGTGTTGGAGCTCTAACACATCAGCCTGGGAGGACCAATCTCATCATTCAGTGAAAAGAGTGATTCTTGGCAGTTGATCACAAAAGGTATGTTCAAAATAGCATCTCAGAGAACTACCCTTATGATAGTGTACTGCTGACAGCAAGAAGTCTGTCAAATGATTAATGCATCTACGCAGATGGGAACACAAGCCATTAGCAGCCGGATTTACTCTGAGATTGCTCACCTCCTGTTTGCAAAGCCTAAATAGAGTCAAAATAAAGGTTTGTTCCTGATAGAGTTAATATTTGTTTTCCACTTGACTGAGCAAAGACCACAAAGTCCTAAACTGCAGTCCTAAACGTCAGATCTAAATCAGCCAGGTCTGATAGCAGTAGCTGACCTGGAGTTCAAAAGTGAACTAACTAATTTAGTGAGGAATTCTGTTACTAAGCAATGTCTCCATTAAAAGCCATTGGCCTTGCAATTCTTATTTGCAGAAATTTCCATAAAGAGGCATAAGATGTCCTAGATTTGAAATGGTAATATTACAATGTCTTTTTTTCCTCTTATCTTCAATTGCTTTTTTATCTTATACAATTTCTATTTTATTTTTGTTTTATATTGTTTTACTGTATCTTTAGTCAATTTTTATGTGGTTTTAAGTCTTCATTTTTAGGTTTTATATGACTATTGCATTGTCTTTGTTATAGTTGGTCATTGTCCCTGTGCTTTTAACCCTGGTAATTAAATAAATTGGAAAAATGCATTTGATTTGACACATTGCCATTCTAGATCTGCCTTTCACCATTAATTGTACAGAAAGGATCGGCAGAAACAAGAATGTGGGCTGATCAGACAACAAGCATAGTAAACAATATGTCAGATGTGGAGGAAATAAACCAAACCTTCTGTAAGCTAAGCTGCATACCATATAACTTTAATTTCTTTTTCCAAAGTAGGACAAGAACGGTAAAAGAAAAGAGTAATGCATATATAGTAGATTAGCAGAAACTGACCATCATAGTGATTATTAGAACGTGCTGTTCTAATAAGGAAACAAGAATACCAGCATGTAAATATTCAGCATTAAGGTACACATACTTTTGAAATTATGGAAGAGATGCTTCCAGATGCAAGCCCAGAATTGCTTAAATGCATTATGTCTTTTTTCAGGATTCCAAACATATATGAAACATTAGAAAGTTGCATTAAAGCCACATCTGCTTTAATAAGTCAGATCACCACATCTGGTTCAATGAATCAGATCTTTAAAACAGCTACTAATTTTTCAAACTCATGAGAAGAATTTCTTCTGAAACATTTTCAAAACATACAGAGAGCCAATCTGAAATTATATAGCAGTTTCTTTAATGTCACAAGAGAAAGGATTCATAAGATGAATCGTCTATTGAAGAGATCTCCTATAAAGTTGCTAAACTCTCCAACTGAACAATATCAGACAGCAAGGCTAAAAAATATCCACAGGCAAAGTTGTAATAGCCACTGAAGCAGAGGGTGAATTTAAGGCAACTACTTTACTTTAGAAAATTTGTTTCATTTTAATGGGCTTAAGAGCTAAAACTGCAATGCTCTTTGCAGTATTAATGAAGCAAATCCCCTCATTTCAATTTTGGTCCTATTATACATCCACTTCAGACCCTTAAGAAAAGACGGATGAATCTCAAGCTGTCCCCAGCATCTACAAAGATGTTACCTTCAAGCATTTTTTGAAGACTGCTTCGCATAACATGGATATTCTCAATACCTATGAATTGAAACTTGATGTTGGAATAATTGTCTTCATTTTCATACCCTTTCCCAACTGCTCGGTTTGCCATTGCATTGAGCTGCAAAGATCAAGGAAAAAAGAATACCCTTCAGACCTCTGACATGATGTTCTTTCCTTTATAATGAAGAAGAAATAAAAACATTAAAAGTAAAGGTTCTCCTCACACATACGTGCTAGTCATTTCCGGCTCTAGGGAGCGGTGCTCATCTCCGTTACAAAGCCGAAGAGCCATCGCTGTCTGAAGACGTCTTCATGGTCATGTGGCCGGCATGTCTAAATGCCGAAGGCGCACAGAACACTGTTACCTACCCACCAAAGTGGTCCCTATTTTTCTACTTGCATTTTTACATGCTTTTGAACTGCTAGGTTGGCAGAAGCTAGGACAAGAAATGGGAGCTCACTCCCATTACGTGGTGCTAGGGATTCGAACCACTGAACTGCCGACCCTTCTGATCGACAAGCTCAGCGTCTTAGCCACTGAGCCACTGCAAACATTACAATTTGCCAAAAGAAAGAAAGGGAGGGAAGAGCCCTCCACAATGTTGGATTATGAGTTTTATTAGTGAAAATATGGGCTGAATTCTTTATTTTTTTAAAAGCTATGAAATAAAAATAAGATCTGCTGTCGCCTTTGCCTTTGACTACCTTGGAGCTTTTACATTCAAGTGATTTCAATTGTACAATTCATCCAGAAGATGGCAACCTCTCTTCAGAGCCACAGAATACAGAACTGATCCAATCTGTTTTCAGATGGCAAGTTATTGTTGACCTGAACTGACTTGCCATTGGGTTAACAATGAGTGCTTTTTAAAGGAGGGAGAATAGGAAATGCTAGTATGCTCTAGATGCAGAACTCACTTTACCTGTGTGCATATACATGTGTGTGTGTGCCTTCAAGTCCCTACAGTTTTCAGAAGTGGTTTTAGAAGCAGAAGATTGTCTGCTTCCGCCAGTTGAGAGAAAGTGACTGGCCCAAAGTCACTCAGCTTTTTGTCTAAGCCAGGACTTGGGCTCAAGGTCTCCCGGTTTCTAGCCTATGGTCTTAACCAATACACCAGACTCTCTCTCTCACCTCACCTGCTGACAATATAATCAAATATATGTTGAAGCATAAAGACCCTTTTGGATGTTGTTGCACTCAACAAAAAGGCAAAGGTCAAGAAGTTGTTATATGGCCTGTAGTACAGGTCTGCTGGATTGAATATGCATTTCCTAGAATCTAGCAAATTCTGTTACACGCTCTGGAAAATTTCCTTGAGAAGCCACGCTGTGTTTGCACAAAAGTTATCTGCCCAGTAGGGAATGTTGACCATATTACAAGTAGGTCTTTGGACATATGCTCTCTAGTCTTGTAAAGATGGAGAACCCTCTACTACTTGTCACAAAATGCAAATAAAAGTTATATTTATTATTACTTTATGACTGCAAAAAGAAAATATCCTAATAATAAAAGTTATTTCACAATGGAGAAGGTAGCCTTGAGGAGAAGCAGACTCTCCTTTTGGGGAGGCATTTAGGTAGATACAGGGTGGCCATCTGTTAGACATGATAGAGTAATTGAGTTTGGCATTAGAGAGAGGACTATGCAGGGGTGGGATTCTACCAGTTTTGACCGGTTCAGGTGAACCGGATGTTAAATTTGCATCTGGTTTGCTGAACTGGTATTTGAACCGACCGACAATTCTAGAACTTCTGGGTCATTTCAGCCAATACTCGGCATAAAAAAAGACAACAGAATTTGAAGCCTCTTACTTTGGGACGTGTATCAACAACATAGATAAAATCACTTCCAGGGTTTGCCTTTCGGATCAACTGTAGCATTTGTTCATCCTCCAGGCATCGAGCGCTGAAGCCTGCTAGCGGTTGGCTACTCCGACATATGGAAGCCTAGGAGATAACAAGAGAGAGACACAAGAACATATGCTTTATTGTGAAAATATTTAGTATACTCAAGCTTGGTTATAACACTTTGGTTGTGGTTTAGTTTCTTTTGTGTTCTCACAGCAAACTGACTTTTATGACTTATTTGTCACAAGCGGCATTTTGAATTTTCCAGATGATACAACGCCCATCAAACGTGTTTCCTGAATTACATAGTAAAGATTAAAATAAGATTAATGCAATTAAAATCTGATCAATTAATAAATGTAAAATCTTTGATAATTTGGCCAACAAATTTATGAATTTTTCTTATCTATAACAGAACTATAGTAACCTCCATCTTTAAAAAGAAGTCAAACCAGATATGGTATGTCCCATCCTTTGGGAGATATTTTTTGTAATCTTGTTGACACAAATTCAAATTTATTTCAATACTCAAAATCAGAATATATTAAATAAATTATTTAATGCTTTAATCTCATGCTTACATTATTCTGCTTGTAGTAATAGGAAAGTGCCGGAAAACGCCTCCTGCTACGAAATTTAGAGCTTCCCACAATGATATGAGCAGTGGCTGATTTGGGTACGTAGATGTCGGTAGGATATGAATCACACACCTGTCCCAAAATAGAAGAAAGCAAAACTGAAGACTTTTTTACTGGTTTGTTCAAGTAGTCTATACTGTATAGCAATGTTTCTCAACAGTGCCAATTTTAAGATGTATGGGCCTCAGTTCCCAGAATTCTCCAACCAGTCATACAGGGTGGACAATTCTGGTAGCTGACAAAGTTGGGAAATACTGTTATATATATTTATTTTTTTCAAACACTCCTCAATGAATTATTCCAAACTGATTCACAAATAGTTATTTTATACACTTGCAGTAAGCAAATTGAATGAATGATGATTTGGAGAAAATGTTAAAAAGCACGTACTTTCTTGTACTCCTGTATATTACCGTAATCAATATTCAAATAGTCCAAATAGTATGACACACCTTTTATAACTGAAGGCCTATTGGGAAATTCTGACAAGTTTAGACCTTGTCTATCTGAAGTTCACCAACAGAAAAACTGCAAAAGGTTATTTTAGAACAAGATTTTTTGCAAGAATGACCAGATTACAGGGTTTTTTTCTCTGCAACACCTCTCAGCACTATTGTGTTTAAAGATGAAACATGGTATCATGAAACATGATATCAATCAACATGTATTCCTCAAAAACAGTTCAGATGTTGGATGTAGTTTCTGGAATCTATAGTCCAACACAAGATAAAACTACTAGATAACCAATTACATAAGGAGGAAGGGAGTAAAGAGAAAGAATAAATAAAGAAAAACATAATGAAGGAGAGAGTGATGGAAAGGATGGAAATCCCAGTTACCAAGTAGCAAATATAAGAAACATACTCAAGATCCAGAAAGGATTCAAATGCCTATACACTATGCTCAAAGTTTAGGAAACAAACATAGTGAACTTGATGTATTAGTGCATGAAGGTAGATATGGTATAGTTGCCATTACAGAAACTTGGTGACTTGAAACTCGCAACTGGAATGTACTGATAGGATACAAACTATTCAAAAGAAACAGACCTAAAAAAGAGGAGATGGAGCTGCATTATATATAAAAAATCTCTACAGAAATACACAAAACCAAGGATGAAAACCGCCTAGAATCCATATGGGTCAACATAAAAGGAAAAACAATGACATTGCTATAGGCATATACTATAGGCCATCCAACTGAGCAAAAGAAATAGATGAACTCTTTGCTAACCAATTAACAAATGTATGTAAGAAATAAGCCAGAGCAGTAATGGGATACTTTAACCATCTTGATATCAGCTGGGAGACAAACACTGTAGCAAGTGGGAGACTGAACAGATTCCTAACCAACTTAGCTGACAACTTTGTCATCCAAAAGGTAGAGGAGAGAACTAAAGGAAAAACTATACTGGACCTTATTCTTACTAATAGAGAAGAAGTGATACAGGGAGTTGAAGTTGCTGGAACCTTGGCCAAGAGTGACCATGTCATACTGTAATTCAATATAATGCAAACACAAGCAATAGAATATAATCCAACCAGTCCAACACAATGCTACTGAAAAAAAAATACAAGAAATCCAAGAAAAGACTAGCATAGTTGCACAAAGATCTGATAGACTGAAAGAAAAAAAAAGGATGAGCACAAAAAATGGAAAGAGGGACACATAACTAAGGCAGAATATCATCAGATAGCCCGAATCTGCAAAGATGAAGTCAGGAAAGCAAAGGCTCAGAATGAACAAAGGCTTGCAACAAAAGTCCAAGATAATTTTAAAAAAGTTTCTTTCAATATGTAAATAACAAGAAAAAAGTCAAGGAAACAGTTGGTCCACTAAAGAGAGAAGATGGCAAGGAAGTAACAGGGTATAGAGAGAAAGCAGAGCTTCTTAACTCATTCTTTGCATCCGTCTTCACACAAAAAGATCAAAAACATAACTGTAAAAGAAAGATTAGAAATAAAAATTAAAATAAGAAAATGGTCTGAGAACACCTGTCTGACATCAATGAATATAAATCACCTGGACCTGATGGATTACATCCCAGAGTTCTGAAGCAGCTGGTAGATATTATCTCAGATCCATTGTCTCACATCTTTTTAAAATTAAATTTAAAAATGTATTTACAATTAAATTAGTAGACCAGAGAAATGCTGTGGACATAGTATATGTAGACTTCAGCAAGGAATTTGACAAAGTAGACTACAACCTACTTCTTGGTAAATAGAAAAATGTGGGATAGAAAGTATCACCACCAGATGGATTTGTAACTGGCTGACAAACTGTACTCAATGAGTAGTCCTTAACATTATTACATCTACATAGAGGGAAGTAAGCAGTGGGGTACTACAAGGTTCTGTTTTAGGCCAGTACTCTTCAGTATCAATATTAATGCCGCTTTAGAAATCCTTAGTAAGGCCACACCTGGAAAACTGCATCTAGTTTTAGTCACTACATTACAAAAAGATGCTGAGACTTAGGGGAAAAAAGCAAAGAGCACTTCATCAACTAAGATGATTAAAGGCCTGGACACTAAAACATATGAAGAATGGTTGCAGGATTTGGGTTTGGCTAGTCTATATAAAAGGAGTAAGGGGACAGGATAGCAGTATTATAGTATTTAAGAGGTTGCCACAAAGAGGAGGGGGTCAATTTATTTTCCAAAGCACCAGAGGACAGAACAAGAAACAATGGATGGAACCTAATCAAGGAGAGAAGCAACTTGGAATTAACTTGAAGAAACTTCCTAACAGTGAGGACAATCAACCAGTGGAACAGAAGTTGCCTTCAGAAGTTGTGGGTGCTTCATCACTGGAAGTTTTTAAGAAGACAATGGACAGTCACCTGTCTGAAATGATATAGGGTTTCCTGTTTGAGTAGGGGACTGGACTAGAAGACCTCTAAGGTCCCTTCCACTCTTTTCTGATTCTGATACTTCTGGAAGATACCAGGTTGAGAACTCTACTTTATCAATCCAAGAATACATAAGGTACTACAAGTGTCTTTCTTCCTTTACATTCCCTTTCCATAAGTTGATTTAACAGTTGCCAATTATCTATAATTTATGTGCCAGGATATTGTTTTTATGAATGCAACCCAATTTCTGAAGCTAACCTCAGAAGCTAATTGTGTTTAAAATCTCAATTTCTCAGGATGGCAGGAAAAAACACCAATTTTATAAATCAACAAAGTAAATTTTATACAGAAGACTACAAAGGCACATATCTTAAGTCAATATTTACTGGTTCAAGTATTTCATAATGAATTGGGCCACTGAGTTATTTGGAAGGTGATGGAAGCAGAAGTATTTCACACACTAGTATTTTGAATCACAATATTTAGACCTCAGACCATTTGTTTTCATGAGCAGCAACTCACACGATAATCTCTATTGACATCACTGATCTGCCAGTAATTATTTGGAATTCCCATACGATTGTATTCTTTCATTAAGTTTGTCAGATTCCAGCCTTGCTCTCGTTCTTCTTTGTTTAATTTCGGATTGAAAGAAAAACAATACAGTTCTTCGTATTTCACTGAAAACAAGAAAACGAGACAGCTGCTGTTTCTTCACTAGAATTACTGCTATTATTATTAATGCAAAATGGCAAACACCAACATTTATTTGCTTGATTTATTTGCTTAATTGTTCCAGCAATCCAGGGGATAAACCCAACTTTCTTAGAAAGTTATCATTGCAGAAATGCCAAACAACAATTACAGAGTGGACTTCAGGTCAGGTCAGTGCATTTTCTTTGTCTGGACACTTTTAAGATAACATTTGGGAGACAGCCAATACAGAATTCTCCTTGTGGTTATTTGGTAATTTAATTTTTACCAGGAAGACAAAGCAGATGAACAAAGCAGAAACATTATTTTCCTCCCCGTGTTTTATTAATTTTGCTATATTAGATGGGATTTGATTCATGCTTACATTATCTAGTGTAATCAATGCTGGAAACAGCCACTTTAATGTAGTTGAAATTATTTTTCACATTCTGACATAACATGGTTTGAGCCTTTAGACAATTAGAAATGCTAGGAGGCAATGAAGGGGCAAATGATGGCACAGAAATGGCTGTCATATTGATTACAGCTATTGGCAAAGCATATAGTCGAAGGCAAAGAAACATTGGTTTGTGTCAGTCATAGTTTATTTTTACAGAATGCTTCTGTGGACTCCATAGGCCCAAAAGATAGTTAGAAATATAAATTATACTTAAGGTTGGCACTTTGCTTCTGAACAAACTATCTTCCCAATCATGTTTATAAATAAATGAATCTAATGAATTAGGAAGGCTTGGGAACTTAGGGGGGCAGTGCTAACAAATACATCATCCATGTAAAATCACCCCAGGGAATTATATTGGAGACATAGTTTCTACAATGAAAGGACATTTCCATAAAACACTCTTGTCCCATGTCAGAGATTAATACTAAAAATAACAGAGGAAAAAATAAAATTCTAAACATAAAAGAATGATAAATCTGGATGGAATTAGCTAAAAAATAAATGGAGAGTCCCAATTGTTTGGTACCAGAGCAGAAAAGAACAGTCTTTAAGGAAAAGACCACAAAAACAGCCAGAGAATTAGCAAAAGGAATAAGAAGAACATGAACATGAGTAGTTAAACAAAATACAATTGAATACAACAACCAACCATATCAAATGCAGAAAACAGATTTATGAATTGCCTTTTCATGACTGTACATTCAGATCAGTGGAACCTTTTGTTGAAATAGAATCTAAACAACTCAGCCTCCTAAGAGTGAGATTTATAAACAAAACAGAGGAGTCACCCATGGCTACAAGGAAATAATTTTACTCAGGCCAACTGCCAGCACAGATGCTTGGGTACCTCCTAAACTTCCAATCTATACCTGGGCGCGCCAGACGTATCAGAGAAATGTAAACATCATGGCAGTCTCTTTCCTGAGACATGATGAATTGAATGTTCTGGAAATTCTTACAACGAATCAGCATTGGGCAACCAGAAGCTGATGTAGCAAGTTTCTCAATTGAGGAGATCTGGCTGTGAAGGATCTGATAAAGAAAAATAAGAAGTCAATCTAAAGAGAAGCTAAAAATATCCCATTTTATAAATTAACACAATCAAAACTGTATGATGTGCCCTAAACAACATAATGCTCACTGTAGCATGGTGAACGAAGTTTCAGCATTATACAAGATCACAGAGAACAAGAGAAATTGAATCTTGAATCAGTAAGGGGAGCAGAGGATCACTTAGTAGAGTAGGAGACCACTTAGCTACATTTGCTGGAAAGAATGCATACAAACCCATCTCTCATAGAGTGAGGAAGCGATCATTAACTTGTTAAGTGAGATCCCCAAATTAGAACTTAGAATAACTTTATTGTCACATTGAATGTACACTGATCTGCATACATTAAGTTGAAATTTTGTTGCATACAGCACTCAAAGGGTCTCCACCTCTCATATACACTACATAAACATGACAAAATAAAAAGCCTTTGATGTATTTTATAGCTTATGTTCCCGTAACACTTGAGACAATATATTGTGGAATTTCCCCACAAAAATAACTTTGCAAGGTATGACAGGCTAAGGGGGTTAAGTTAACTAAGGGTTAAGTTAACAAAAATGTCTAAGTTTTGGTGTTTCATCTTATGACATTGTTTGAATGTATTTTTTAGATATCATTTACTTTCAATATCTGTTTTTAATGAGAACAATCACAGAATGTGTTTCACTTTTATGCCTGGCATCCTGAAATTCAAGTATTATTAGAGGCTGTGAATTTTACCTCTGTTCAAAAGTCAAGCAGACTTTCAAAGAGAAAAGATTATAAATCCAGAACTTTGGTTTCAGGTTCTTTAAAGCAGGGGTCTCCAACCTTGGCAACTTTAAGACTTGTGGACTTCAACTCCCAGAAGCTTTCCTGGCTGAGGTATTCTGAGGGTTGAAATCCACAAGTCTTAAAGTTGCCAAGGTTGGAGACCTCTGCTTTAAAGCAGGGGTGGGTTGCTGGAGGCTTGCAGGAGTTCGGGAGAGCTCCAAGCTAAGATTATGTGCAGTTCGGAGAACCCTCAAATCCCACTCCTGGGCTGGCCCTGCCCACCCCGCCTCATCCCTCCTAGGAGGCTCCACGTGGCCCATTCAGGAAGATGGAAATGGGTCTATTTCTGGTCTCCAAGTAACCTCCGGAGCCCAGGGAGGCCATTTTTGCCTCCCTGGGAGCCTGCAGAGGGCAAGCCCCCCCTCCCACTATGGCACTGGAGGCCGACTAGGCCATGCCCACCCAGCAACCGGGCAGAGAACCCTTTGCTAAAAATTTTGAAGCCCACACCTGCTTTAAAGGGTTTTCAAGTGCTAACTGTGGTCACTTGAAACTACCAACTTAGAAATTCCAGGATGAAAACAGAGCTTTCAACATGGTAGAATGCTACAAGGAAGACATTAGAGCAATTATTTCAAAATTGACATATGCAGGGAATCTAAATGTGAGGAGCATTCAAAAGGTGGGGATAATCAGTGGCAAGGAAAAAAGAATTTTTTCCTTTCCATAACCAAGAGTTCCAATATTCTGTTCTCATTGGTAACAGTTTTGGGAATGGTACTCTAAATCAGGGGTTGCCAACCTTTTGGACCTCAGGGACCATCAAACTCATAATTTTATATCCTGCAGACTAGGGACCCTGGGAAAATCCCCCAAAAAATCTGCAGGAAAATTCCCCACCCCGTTTTCCTACCGATCAATCATTATTTGGGATTGCAGGATACCATCTCCAGCTCCACCCTTTCCTCCCTCTCCTCACAACCTCGTGTTGTTCGCAATGCAAGCGATATAAGCCTTGTATTCCCGCAGGCCATGTGGGCGGAGCAGCCTTGTGTTCCCACACAGCCTAGATTAATTGCTTTGGGGTGACATTTCTCTGCGGACCACCAAAATTTTCTTGCGGACCACCAGTGGTCCCTGGCCCACTGGTTGGTGACCACTGCTCTAAATGATGGACATTAGTTGGAGAATGCTGCCCCAGGCCCAGTGAAATTACTGGAATTCACCTCACAGCTCCAATCTCCAGCTTATCTTCTTCACCTTATTTTCTGCCTGAGTAGAACTTGCTATGCATCTTTGTGAGGATATTGAGAGAATGCCATTTCTTTTGTAATCTCTGGAAGCAAAATATTTTGATCTGGCCCTTCCCTTGATGGCAATGAGGTTGCTTTTTGGAATTTCAAGAGCAGGCAGGTTTTCTATTCAATGAGATGCGTTGGATAGGAAGTCTGTTCTTTCTGGATGAAGGGACTATTCTTCTGATTATTATAGTTCATGACCCATTATTATAGAAATAAAAAAAATATTTTGCCCTCCAGATATTTTTGAATTCTAATTGCACTCTGGACAATGCTCAAGACAGATAGCATCAGTAATTCCGGAGGTTAAGAACTATTGGTTACTGTGTTTGGTAGACTTAAGAATTATTGTTTCTACTTGCTCTTTCAATGATTTAAACTCATTTGCTTACTCAAAACATGTTCAAGCAGAAATTGGACCTCTGAATTCCATAAGCTGCTAGTGTTTGGATGCTGGCACTGATGGAGGAGTTGGACTCGGTGCTGTAAATGGCCTCTCCACTCTGTGAGTCAAGGATCCAGAGGGTCCTTGAGGGCTAGGAATTTTTATGACTACAGATACAGATAGAAGTGAACAGTCCCCAAATATTCACAAAGTGTTTTAAAGACCTAATTGCCTTTGTATTTGTAGAACATTTTATGGTTCTAAATGTACGTCACAGCCTGCGCAGGTCATTGGATTTATCAAGATATAATGGTAACTTGTCATACCCAGGTCTCCTTACGATTGTCTGGCTCATTCTCTACAAAGATGACATGAGTGGCTGTTAGATACAAAGTCCCTAATGCAGTTCTTTTGGAAGATATTCCATCAATAAAGCGCACATTTTCCACCTACAAACAGAGAAAGGCACAAAATGACCAAAACAAAACTTCTTAGGAAGAGTTTAAGAGCCATATTTTTTCTTTTTAAAATGTGTTATATTCTGTAATGCTTTGACATTGTGCTAAAAGATGCAACACTATTTTACCAAAGTCACCCCTCTTCAGTGTTTACATTTCAAAGTGATTACATCTGATTATGTAAAAGCTATGATTGTAATTCAGCAAATGCTGTGAATCAATCTGACAATAATGAGTACTGCTCATAGCACTGCTCACAGGCATTTCTTTTAAAAATAAATATGTTTTATGAATCCAATAAATCTATTGATAGCAAACCTGATCCCTATTTTATCTGGGATATCTGAAGATTGGAGCTTGACAAAAGAGGAAAAAACCCAGAATATATCTAGAACACTTAGAAATACATTGCATTCAAACCCCTTATTATAAAAAACAAACCAATTGGGAAGTCAAAATTTAGTTATCTCTTGCCCATAATGACAGCTGAATTATCAAGTGTAAACATTTTTCCTATGGTTAAAGGTGTTGATGATGGCAACCTTTATTACCTTAATCAAAATTAGCATTTCCATGTGATCTGGGATTTTTCTAAACCAAATTCTCATGGTCTATATTTAGATTCATTGCTACTTTCCATATGTCTTCTGAGAATTTAGTTTGGTGAAAGTAATTTAAGACTAAAATTCCAGAACTTAAAACATTAGTGGAAAAAAATGGATTATGAGTTACTGATTTCTTGGCTGGATCTTACATGACTGTATCTTGGCTACTTTTAAAATGACCTATGTCAAAAGCTGGTCACATCAGCCGAAAGCCAAATTACTTTCATGGCACATTCTTCTAGCAAACAGATCCATTGGGAACTATTTTTGTGCATCTCACATTCTTCCCAGTGGATAAGTGAACTTTGTTATATTAAATCTAAATTTAGGCAGTTTACAGCCAGATCAAAGTACTTAGGCCCATAAAAAACTTCAGTGAGTTAGTTTGTAGAAATGACATATTTCTGAGAATGGAGGATAACTCTGCAACTGATACAATCCCCCTTTTGATAAAATATAGAATGCAAGAAAACCCTATATAGAGATGCCAACCCCCTGAAGTTCTCTTTTTCCTCACTCTAAAGAATGTACGTATGAGTTGGACTTCTGTGCACACATGAACATGTGTATATATGATTACAGCTGAAACTAGTAAAGCAAGAAGACACACACAGCCCGGTCTAGAAAAAAAAACATTATGTAAAGATCTGCCTCTCAATCCCATCAAGGAAATGGCCAGCTCTGTATGTCTATACACACATATATACACATAAACAATTTCTTTGCACCGCAGTGGGCCATATCATCCCAAGGCTTCATTCCTATCTACAGGAAAGATTCCTGTCTAGATATGTCTGCAAATCCTCTGCCAAGATCAGCCTAGTGCTGAATAAGGCGTGTTGTAATTTATTGTGAGGCCAGGTGTAAAATCTGGCAGCATACCTGACAGGAGCCACATTCCTCCACCTTCCCAAAAGGAAGAACTGGGCCAAAAAGAAATAAAATGTACAGTATCATTATTAAACGTCGTTATTGATAAAACAAGACACCCCGTTTATGACATTGATCCCCTATCTATAAACAGTTCCCTTGTTATGGAGAACACACAAGTACAGATAAGAATGCACATACCCTGCCTCTCTTTCCAACAGAAGAAGGAAGAAAAGTGATAAGAGATGGGGAAGACATCCCTGAACTGGGAAGGGAAACAAAAGCCGAGAGAAAGCAGAGAACAAAACTGGATGGCAATGAATTGAGAAGAGGAAATTGGACAGAAAAGAAAGAAAACAGAAGAAGTGTTTAGGTGCCGTTTAATACATTCATCAGACAAGCATGCAACTCAACTAATGAAACTGTGTTCTTCCTCATTAAAAAATACTTTACTAATTAATTACAGTAATCTGATTAAGCCTGCCAACTTTTATTCACTTACCAGGGAACAAGCCCTATTAAATTAAATAGAAAGTATTAATGCACGAGGATAAGGTTTCATTATAAGTCTGGGAATCCTCAAAAGAAGGAAGAAGAGGGCAAAAAGCCCCACATATGTAATGACATTACATTACAGTAATGAAGGAAGTTAAATATCTGTGTCAAACATCTTGTTGTGTGCATAATCTGTGCAATTGTGTCATGACATTTCATCATGTTGAAGTTATCATGATAAAAAGTGCCACTCCATCAAGAGAGAACCCTGGAATAAACAAAGAAACCAGATGTAAAAATAGTGATTCCTTTTACTAGGACTCAAGTTTTAAGCTTGTTCTCTCTCCCACTCAAAATCTCAAGGTCTCCAAGCATCTAGACAGGACTTTGACGGCATCATTCATCTGATTTAAGACTAGTGAGGTAAAAACTAGTTAACATCAGCATATTGATGGAACCTCAGCCAAAAATACCATTTTTGACACAACGCAGCAAGAGGAGCGATGACAAAAAATAGATACTGAAAAGAATGTAAACGACAAACAGATGTCAGGAGCTTTCAGAGGAAAAATGCCAACATTGATCTCAGCAAGATTACTGGGAAGCTGTTCAAAAAAAAGGATGCTACACTGGTAAAAAAAAACTTTATTCAGGCTGACTTCAGAAGAAAGGACAGCTGTATAGCAACATTTACAGTAGATTTATCCTAAGGCACAATTTGCCTTGGACAATATAAGTGCAGATTTGAATGAACCAGCCTAATTTTAAAATCCTATTGGCCAAATTTTATAAGACTTTTCAAACTGAACCAATAAGAACAAGATACTCTAGCTAAATTTGAAATGTATTTGAATGTGGATAGAAACATAGCAAGTAATGAGAAGGATACAGAAAAGGATGTATTGGGCTTTCAAATGAAATCAAATGATGCCTGAAAATCTGCTTTAGGCATCATACGATTTAATTTGAAAGGTAGTCCTTGACTTACAACTGTTTATTCAGTGACCATTTGAAGTTACAGCCCTGAAAAAAATGACATGACCATTTTTCACACTTACAACTGTTGCAGCATCCCCATGGACACATGATCAAAATTCAGCAACTGGCATGTATTTATGATGGTGTCCCAGGGCCATGTGATCATCTTTTGTGAACTTCTGACAAGTCAGATTCACTGAACAACTTATTAACTTAACGGCAGTGATTCACTTAACAAGTGTGGCAAGAAAGGTGTAAGATGAGGCAAAACTCACTTCTCAACTGTCTTACTTAGCAAAGGAAATTTTGAATTCAGTTGTGGTCATGAGTCAAGGACTGTTATAACTATCATACAAGAAAAGAGATATGAATGAATATATATATATATATATATATATATGTATATATATATATATATATATATATATATGTGGATGGATCTTTGGTTATTCGGGTTTTCTCCCGCGTAAGATTGGAAGTATCTAGGCAACGTATCGATGAAGTCTCATTCATCATCTTCAGGCTTGTGTCTTCGGCTCTGTGCTTCTCAGAGTGATGTGAGCTTGCAGCTGCTTCTTCCTTTTAACTGCTAGTGGGGGTGTGACTTGATTGGGTGGGGGCTTGGCTGTGTTCTGATTGGGTGGGGGTGTGTTCTCATTGGTAGGGGGTTTGGCTGTGTTCTAATTGGTTGGGGGGTTGGCCGTGTTCTGATTGGCTGGAGGCGTGTTCTGTTCAGGTGGGGGCTTGGTTGTGCTCAGGTTAGTCTTAGTTGCTGGGGGATTTGAGCTGGTGAGCTGTGATCCTGCTGTTTGGCTTCAAGTTTGTGGTCATGCTGCATCTTCATGGTGGGTGTCAGTTTGCTTCATGTATGGCTTGGAGGGGTTTGAAGTGGGTAGTGATGCAGCTGCAGTGCAGCTTCTGGTCCATGGTCGTGTCTCATCTTCTGTGTGGGTGTGAGTCTGCTTTCTGCGTGGAAGTGTGGTGGTGGCATCTTGTGTGGCCCTCATGGGTTTGGGTCTGGTGTCATTCTTCATGTTAGGTACTCGTCTGTTCATGAGGGCGGGTTTCCAAGTGGTGGTAGGCGGGAGGTGTCATTTTGTTTATTCATGCTGTGTGGGCGTTTTTCTATCTCTATGGCTTCTCTGATTATTCTGCTGTTGAAGTGTTCGGTTTTGGCAATAGTTCTGGTATTTTTAAAGTCAATCTCATGTCCTGTGGCTTTGAGGTGTTGGACCATGGAAGAGGTCGGTTCTTCTTTTTTGATTGAGTTCTTGAGATTGACTTTAAAAGGTAATCTTCAGAAATATTACAACTATGAACTTCCACTTTACAGTTTCCCACAAATATTTTGAAAAAGCAACTTGGTCATTTCTAAATGCTCTAAAATCATACTTCATGACATGTATCAGATTGGCTGACCTAAAGGCTTATTTTAAGAAAGGCACTCCAATTTTCTTCACCACTATAAATGTAAATATTTATGATGCTCTATATACTTTCCCCAGAGTCATCCTATTGTGGCACTTTTAAAATATTCAGGATTCCATTTACAATCTAAATTATTACCAGCATCTGAAAATAACTAAGATGAGGAAGATATTTACTGTCCTAAATATCTAGTAAGAAATAGCAAGGGGTAGGAAGAAAACTTGGAACTGCATGAATTTGACCACACAGGATGGATATTAAATAAACAGATCAACAAATAAACTCTTAATGTTATTATTCCTGCACTCTACAGCACATTAGAGGCATTTAGACTGCTTTGTAGAAATCATGTTAAATAGCTGTGTTCTCTTATCCGCACAAAGAATCTTCAACACAGGCTGATCAGGAATGTCCAAAATGCATGGAACAGCCATTTTAGGTGGCTTTCTCCAGACTAAAATATGTAGATCATATTTGTTTGGTTCAGGCATAGACACAAAACATAAATATGCCAAACCTAAGTGGTTAAGAATGTGCAGAACATAATAAAAGGCAACACTATTGGTGACAATGTGTGCTGATGGCAACTAAGGAGAAGAAAAGGAATGTGACAGGTAGAAAGGATGTGGGTAGAGATGAGAGGGCAGGAGAGATAGCTATGCCATGCCAGATTTCATAGTGATTAAGGTGCTGGGAAGGTCAATAGACCAAGTCAGGGTCTGCCCTCAACAGTTTGGTTGAACTTCAGAGCCACAGTATTCTTCAGTTCAAACTGATCAGTCCTAAAGATCAACCCTGACTGCTCTTTAGAAAGCCAGATCCTGACGATGAAACTCAAATACTTTGGCCACCTAATGAGAAGGAAGGACTCACTGGAGAAGAGTCTAATGCTGGGAACGATTGAGCGCAATAGAAGAATGGGATGACAGAGAATGAGGTGTCTGGATGGAGTCACTGAAGCAGTTGGCGTGAGCTTAAATGGACTCTGGGGGATAGTAGAGGACAGGAAGGCCTGGAAGAACATTGTCCATTGGATCACGATGGGTCAGACACGACTTCGAGACTAACAACAATTTTTCGGTTCGAAACAAATTATAGCCTGCATCTCAGGCAGAACCACATGGCAGATATTGTATACAATTTGTTACTTGTTTCTCAATTTTGCTGTCATTTAAAATTGAGCTACCATGGGGTTTATCATACTGGGGCTACCAGAATGAATGAATTAGTTTCCTGTGCCACTTTGCTGTTATTTAGTGCTGAGTCTTTCAAAGTATGTTCCACAAAATCCTACCATTCTGCAGGAACTTAATGAAACTCCATGAAGGACTAAGGACAACAAAGAATCATTCAAATACAGCCCATTTTCTATCACTAGAGATTTTCATTTTCATCATGGGTTCTATATTTTGTTTAAAAAAAAGTTTTGCAGCTAAAAGAATAAAACCATGATCCACAGATCATTTGAATTTTTGCAGTCCTACTGCTAGTGGTTGATTACATCTATCAATAGGTGTTTTAGTATTTTGCTGTTGTTCCGAGGGCTTTTATCTTCTAAATTATTTTAGTGATTCAAAATCTATATTTGTTTCTCTACATTACATTACATGTCATAAATAATCTAAGCCGATAGCATGGAAACAGGGCAGGCCATAGCAAAAATGAAAATAGTCAATGGAAGATGGATACTTTGCTTTTAAAATCTTGTATTTTCAATTCATTGATTCATTTACAGTATTGACATATCCACCCATCCTAAAAAGAACTATTTTATAGCACAATATAAACAGTAAGTCTCAGAAAGATCCTAAGTACAGTAAGTGTTCCCAAATTAGTGTTCCAATTTTAAGAAATGCTTGATTTTTTTTTAATCCAAAATATTTTCTATGCTATATGGGATTGTCTTCTGATTATCTTCTGGGTGTGAAATGTTACTGAGTTTATTCAAATGGAACATAATGGTGGAAAATAAATCAGTTTAAAGTTATGCCTGTATGGCATAAGCTACAGAAAGAGATAAAAAAATGTCAGGATGATGCTTTTAAATGCAAACCACTGTATTCTTCTATGTTCAAATCACATTTCACATATAGAAGCCAGAGACCTAGTGTCATAACCCCAAAGACAAGAAACCATTATTCAAACATATGTTCTGGTAGGATTTATCATATATAATCAGTTGTAAAACAAGAATTTAAAATCCTAGACTTTAAAACATTTTATGGATGCCCAGCACAATTAAATCAAATGTCATGAAAATAAATTCTATCGCTCATCAGATTCAGGGATACTCAACCAGGGATCCATTTTTATTCTATTGACCTAGAATCAGGACCTACTTTGAAATCTCATAATAATGTAATGCCATTTTCACCTATCATTTCTCCCTGGAAAGCAAGGGAGAAGGGGAGAGGGTTTTCTATTTGAATTTCAAATAAGAGTGAGATCAAAGGAGGGGAAATCATTTCCTGGCTTGCAGGCTGATGCTGCATTATTATAGGCAAGGGATGAGTAAGCGCAATTCTGTTTCCAACTGTGTGAAGAATATGATCTGATTGGAATGCACCTCCGAATTAAAAGGCCCTTCTCTTAAGCAGCAGTCTTACCTGAATGGGGGCAAAAGGATTCTTTAAACATGCAACTTTCCCACCATTTTTCGTTTCATAGGTGAGGATTAATTCATCCCCATCCTGGAACCCCACTCGCAGGGGGAGGGGTAATTGATCCTCCCCCCCGTTCCCCCCCCCCCGCCAGATCCTGAACCCCACAGCTTCTTCAAGACGAGCCTCTTCTGCTCCGTCTTTCCGGCACCGCACTAACCTTGGGCATTCTGATGTACTCCATGGCGACCAAATCTCGGTGCGTGGGATCCTCACGCACCTTACACAACCAAGGGAGAACGATGCACCATCAAATACCGGTGCACCAGAAGGCAGAGGCAAAGAGGGGGAAGGGGCGGCAGTGTTAGAGAATCGGGAAAAAAGTAAAGAGGAGTTGGAAAATCTTCAGCTCTCAGATCGGATGGGGGGGGGCGGTTTGTTGTGATGCTCGCAGGTCAGGGCCGGGCTCCGCCTTCTGCAGCGGCTGCCATGCTGCTCTTTTCAGGTTCGGGCATCAGTCAGAGCCGCCGGTTGCCCGGTTCGACAGACCTCCAGGCCCTAAAGACTGACGTGTTTAAGCGCAAATGCTGCGCAGGAGCTACTTTTTATATCATCATCATTTGCCATCTTGGTTCCCAAGTTGCTCATTCCTTGTCTGCCTCAGGCTGATAAATCTAATATTCCTTTTTCTGTCTCTCTCCCTCTCCTGGAGAAATGTAATCAGAAATTTACCTGCTTGAACTTTACCTGACCTGCATTTCAGACTAGCATGTTGGGGGAAACTAGACTACTAGGAGGTAATTCAGCAGGTGGAATGAATGCAGAAAATAGGCCTAATTAAAAAAGCCATAGTTAGGTAAACCAAGCTATGCACTGCATGCCAAAGCAGCCAATATTTTCTTTTTATAGTTCCAAAGAAAACAAAAGATGTCTTCTAGAAATAGAAGACAACAAGATATTTTAAAAACAGGTAGAGCAAACTAACATAATAGACAACACATACAATTGTTTGTGGTATAGTATACAAAATATAATAATACAAGTACAATTGATTGATTATGTGACCTCAAATCAGTGTTGACTCCGAGAGACCTCATAGATACAATTTTCTCTACGATGATGTCCTTAGCCTGGTCTCCCAATGGAGGACCCATCACAACCATAACTGACTCCATCTTCCTTGTTGCTGGTTGTCCTGTTCTTCTCTTTCCTTCCATCTTTCCCAGAATTACAGCCTTCTCAAAAAAAACAAAAAAAAAACCCTGAGTCTTCACATAATGTATCTGAAACAAGGACAAAATAAATATTTTTAAAAATCAAATAGAACAATAGCAATGCAACAATAGATTTGTCACTATAAAAATTGCTACACAGCCATTTTTAAATAATAGGTTGAAACTTGACACATGGAATCATATTGTCCAGGCCAAGCATTCACAAAATCCACCAGACTTTACTCTCAAAAAAAGTAAAGATAGTAGCTGCATGACTGAAGCTCCACAACCTTTTTATATGAGCCACAATGCATGTAAAAAGAAGCAGGATTTTATATATTTGTGGATATAATCTGGATTTTTCTTTTATCCCATTGCCTATGCCAATAAAGATCATAGCTGACCCATTTCATCAAATTGTCCTTTGCTATCTGGTACTTACAGTATTTCTGGGGAAAACATAAAGCCTTTGGGGCAACAACCCATGATAAATCCAATGTTCTTCAGAAATACATTGATTCCAAATTTATAGAATATAATTTAACAACATATTAACATTCTTAAATCTGAACTTTTTCCAAGAATTTGGTTCACCATAGTAAGACTATAGTTAAAATACATATTTTAACTTTTACATTTTTATTGCATCTCTAATATAATGGTAGAAAATTGAATTTTTAAAAAGAACCATTGTTCTAAATTCATAAGAAATACAAAACTGAAAATGTGAGAACACTAATATTTTAATGTAGGCAACACTAGTTCTCTATTACAAATTCTTGTATATTGTCCATATTTATTTTAGTAACTTTTTCAATTGTCATTAAAATTTAATTGTTGCTTTAGCCTCTAAAATCAACATTCAAAACCATAGGAGTTTGCAAGGCAGCCAATGTATCTGTTTCATCCCAAACAAAGGACAAATGTTTCAGCTGAATGTATTGCCATTCCATTGTTTTTGGCAAATTATATTCTTTTTGTAACCTTTTGAAAGTTTATAAATCACTAGTGATTAGCTGATTAAAAGTAACTATCTCATTTTGAACCCATAATTTCCAAGAAAAGATTTTATTTGCCATTTTAAAATAAAAAATATTGTAAAGATTCAATTTCTTATGGCAACAGGATCATTTTTTAAAATTTCTTACCCAATGTCATTCAAATATGTCTGCCTTCCATATAACCAGGTTGCTACTATACCTAGAAATTGCCAGGATTTCAAAGCTATCATTTAATAGTTCCCAAAGAGATCCATGATGGTAAACAAATAATAGAATGAGGGATCTTCAGAGGATGGCATGATGTAAAGGTTTTGTCTGTGGAGATTCTCAGTCATCCAGGTCATGGTAATCCCAAAAGTGCTTTTTCAAGAGGCAATCGGACTTTCTGGTTTTTCTGTGAAGATATTTCATTTCTCATCCAAGAGCTGAAAAAGCTTCTTGGATGAGAAGTGAAACATCTTCAAAGAAAAATCAGAAAGTCCAGTTGCCTCTTGGAAAAGCACCTTTGGGATGATATTAGGTTTTGGTTCTTTTCAAAACCCCAAAGAAATATTCTGGAAAATTCAAAGGAAAAATAAATGTGAAATAGGTGTGTGGCTAGGGAAATCAGCCTTCCCATAGCCTCATTTGAAAATTGGACCTATTTAATGAGAGACAAATAAAATCAAACTTCATATTTTAAAAAGTGGGGGAGGGAAAAATCTAAAATTTTCACTCTGGTTTTAAGTTCTCCTAAGTAAAACATTCATTAGCAAGAGAGATAAATTGTTCAAATCTTAGTAGCAATTTGAAACAGATGTCCAATAAAAAAGGTAAATATGAGGGCCTCATTTTATTACAAGTTGGTGCTATCTATTCCTATTTTAAAGGCAACTCCTGTTGCAGAGAGCTTCCCAATTGCATAACTTATGCCATTTACTAAGCATGCACTAAAAGTACTAGAGAAAATACATTGGGCTGAAACACACAAAAAGAAAAGAAAAAATAATTATACACAGTATTTCTAATGAATATTTTATTTAGTAGTCCAAATGCAGCTATTGTTTCTTAACCAGATTTCCTTCTATTCCAATTATTCTTGGGTCCCTTCCCAAATCCCCGAGGATTCTAGACAGTTTGGCTGTTGGGGAGATGAAACAAATCTTTTTCCTCTTCTCAGCCTCAATTCTCAACATCTCTCTTTTGTTTAAAAAGACAAATGGCCTTTTTGCTCTAGCATAAAAGAGTTAGAAGGAATATAACTTCTTTACATAAATGTATACAATACTCCAATCAGCCCAAATGTGTATTGGAATGTATTGAAATACAGTTGATATTGGCTTGCTACAAAAGCTTCTTGTCTCTCCATTCATTAGTTCAGTATGGAGAGTTGGCTAGATTAGCCAGTCATTTTCAAAGGATATAGCAAACATCAGCAAAGCAGAAAAGATATTTCCTTGATGCTACTATTGAGGGCAAAAAGAAAGCTGCCTTAGCTTTTTACAGCTGTTTACAGGTGTCTCTTTTTTTCTTCTTCAATAGTTCAGTCTATATGAGCACAAGGGGTCCAAGGAGCTGGTTATTTTCCAACTACTGATTTGACTGTCTTTTGCAATACCTTGTAAACCTTCCAAGTGTTCCAGAGAAATGCAAAGCAATATGTCAAAGGTGCACAAGGACATTGTGCAACATGGCTTGCTTCTTTGCTTTCCTTGTTAAGATTAGCTGTAAAACTATTACTAAAAACTTCAAAAGAAAAAGAAACGGGCATTGTGCGGACTAGATATTTCTGACCTCCTGAATATAAACAAGTCTGGATCAAGTGACAGGGTCCCCATGACACACTGCCACAGAAAGCGTTGGCACAACACTCTAAGGCAAATAATGAGGGGAGGGTTTAGCGCATTGCCAGAAAACATTGTAGTCTGGAGATTAAGCTTTAGGGTCTAGCAAATCATCAATCAAAATCCTTTACCAGATGTAGGTACATTTCAGTCAGAATATTACAAGGACAAAGGCAGTAGGATAATCGCACAAAAGAGAGGGGAAAGAGGAGGAACATCTAGTAATGTCTGTAAATCATGACTGAGCAAACCATAGCTTAATATCTGGCCTATAACACATTTAATATCTGGCCTATAAGACAACCCACTCTAATTGGTTAATATGAATACACACCAATGCTTACATATGTCCTTAACCACAGCAAACTGCATGTGCAGTTTACCATGTTATACAAACACAGAATACTTTCCAGTACCAGGTAATACTAACCATGTCAATCAAAAATGATAGTTGCTATGCATTCACTTACATTTAGCTAAGTCATGTGTATATGTATGTGTATTTCTAGAGTAGAACCTTGTCTATCATATTTATCTGTTGTTGTTTAAAGATGATTGACACTATTAGTCAAACAAATTAAATCATAAATGCATTATATGTGACAAATTCACACAACGTATTTTTATAAATGGTGATTAATTGTCTTGAAGTTCAGTGTCAGCCAGTCATTATATTTATTTTGCTATTAATTTTTCTTGGCCACTTTTCTATTTGAATAAATACTTTTTTTTCCTTGTAAGAAATCTTGTAGGTCACATGTTTTTGTTATTATGGGAAGTACTTCATGTGAACTTTTTCCTAGTTGGATCCATCTATGAAAAAGGTGAGATGTTAATCCCGTGATTCAGTTTTAGGAACATCTAAACTTTAGCACTATTCACTGTTGTCTAGCTTAACTTTTAACACATTTTAAGAATTATTTATTGATGATTTCATTGTAGGTCAAAAGTAAAAAAAAATGAGATACTTTGACACAGAAATGGAATGGTCTTCAACAGGTTTATTACTGTTTCTCCAGGTTAATAAAAAATCAAATCAGTCATTCTGAAATAAGAGGGATTTTAGAGTAATTATTGAGGAAAGCAACCATGTCACTGAACATATGATTTGGCAAGTAAATAGGTGACAATAAGTATCAATGTTCAGTATTAAATAACCAATTTGTAATACACAAAGCATATGATACAATTTTACATTTCAAAAAGTTCTTAAAATTATTTCCAATGAATATGGAAATGGGTGGAAAATATCTATGCTGTGATGATTGGAGG